GGCTTCCAGGACACAGTGTTGCATACTCTCAGGCTGTCCTGCAATTTCCCATAGTTGTTTCCTGTTTGGTCCCCGTTTTCTGCACTCGCTCTATTGCAGGCCATTTCGTTTGATCTAATTTAGTGAACATAAAAATTTAAGCAAGCGTGATCTACACATTCAAGTTGGTTTGAGTTTTGGCAACATGTTTCCCTCTCAAATGAACACAAAGTCGCCTTCAGTGTTCACGAACTTTTCGCATAAATTTTATATACGAAACGTGTTAGCATCTGCACAGAGAAAAAAGGTTTCAAATTTGTAAGATCGCATTGGGCTGGATATTAAAAAATGTGTAATAACCATATTCATTTAATAGACAAAGAGATAAAAAATACATGAAGTACTTGAACATAAATGTTGAAATTACAATTTCAGGCCCAAACATGATTACGTTTTTTTCTCTGTGCATTCATGGGATGTGCACAACCCTTAAGCCGCGATATCTAGCCGTTTGGGCCATGTCAAGAACGAGTCGGTTATTGTGCTTCTGTCTGCCCGCTCAAAATATCAAAATCAACGCCATTGTCATATTTGCTGAATGAGTGAACACTCAACCTCAATTTCAGCTTCCATCGTTGTCGTTGTCAGCCTTTTTTCCTGCTCTTTCCCCGGCTTTTCCCCCGTCCCCACCCGCCGATTTCCCAGCGGCAATGACAATTTCGCGTGTGTTTGTCACATCAGTTATGCATGTGTGTTTGAGTTTTCATATATTTATGACACTCCACTCTGTCACTGTCTGCGAAAGCGAATTTAAATGCGAATGTGACTGTGTGCGTGTTTTTATTTAAACGCAATCAAATTAAGGGCTCAGCAAATTGGCAAGGCCATCAGCAGTATGTAATCAACTTTTCAAATTTTCTCCCAAAGGTTAAAATCAAATGTGAGATACAAAATACGAATTACCAAACACAACATTCCACTATTCAACCCCAGAAAAACCCAATTTGGTCTGCAACTCGTTACAAAAATAGCATTTCCAAGTAAATTTACTGTGTGGGTGGGCGTTCTGGGCTGATGAGGTTGATAAAGTCAACGGGAAGTTTGTTGAAAGCTTCACCCTTATCCGATGTGACCCAATTTTCTCGCTGCCTGTAGTCACAGCGATAAGACTTTAAAATCAACCGCTCACATGCAAAAAGCTATGAATTCGATTTGCGGCAAGTCGTACTATGTACAAAATAAATACTTGTAAGATACACCCCGCAATGCAAATTGCCATGACGAACTTAGGCGGCTTTAATGGCGTGCAAAAAAAAAGAAGTAAAGAAAAGAAAATACAAAAAACAAAAAACGTCCTGAGCCTTCAGGCAGAAACATAATTTTCGTTGCCTACTTTGGAGGGCTGACTTTAATGGCGGATGGGCGTTGAAATGTAAACGGTGCCGTGAGTGCAATTTGAGTTTGCCACGCATTAAGCCCTATTAGGGAGCTAAGGCAAACCTTTCATGTCTGTTATTAGCCATGAGGCGAAAAGACGCCAGATGCCTCTAATGCTTGGCACACATTTCTCTGGGCCATAATGCCCTATCCCCACATCGATACAACGCAATTTGTGCTATTTTCGGTCGCCAGTGTGGAGTCAATAATTTATGCTTTTGCTCCATTTTTCGTGTCGGGAGTTATGTTGGCCTTCCAGTGACCTAATTTAGGTAACAGTGCTCCCGTCCCCCATTTCCATGCGCTCTCTCTTCGAGTCCGCTCTTTTGGCTCTCTTTTTCCTTGGCCTTAACTCTCTTTCGCTGTTAGGACTTGGCCGCTCTTTTTGGCCTAGTTCTTGGGGCAGTTAACAGCGGCAACTTGGCTCTCAGCGAGTGACGTTTCATGTGGCACGGACAGGGACAAAGTCAGAGGAGAGAGAGAGAGCGGAATGTACAGGGGCATGGCCACCCCCCTCTGAGGGAAAACTCGGAAGGGGTGGTTGCATATATACGCTACTATATACTGTTGACCCAATTTCGCGGCTGTCCTTCCACAGCTGTTCTGATTTCGGTTTCGATTTCGGTTCGCATTTCCGCCTTGTGTATTTTCGGCCCGAGACTCTGGGGTTTGGGGTTGTTTATGCTTGCCGCCACCGGGAATGGGAAATCGGAAAACGCCAAGATGAACAGAGTGGAGCAGAGACAGAGATAGAGGCAGAGAGAGCGCAGGAAAACAGGAAGATTTTTATTTACCCCACGCACGTAGTTTGCGTGGGTGGGTGGGTTTTCCCCAAGATGTGTGTCCTCCTCGGCTGGCAAGTAAATTTTCATTGAATTCGAAGGCAATAGGATATTGCATGGCAACGCAGGACTTCCACTGATAACGTTAAATGTATCGGTGGCAGGCGGGGAATTATTAAGTCGACAAATTAATAAGGATGTGCTGGCAAAGCTGAGCTTCGAATCAGGAAATATCTGCTCAGCCAGCTGGGCCTCGTTCCGGTTAAAGTCTTGAGTAAATACGCGCAGGGATTAGCATGAAGTACGCCCCCGAGTAAATACAAATACACGCACTTATACTGGAGTATGTATATATATGAAATAAAAGCTGGGAGCAGCCTGGAAAATACCCCCACTTCCTTTGCCAATCTTCCTCAAAAAGCCTTAAAGAAGATTCATGTTGTGCCGCCCACTCACGTTGGCTATTTGTGTATGTTTTCCCGGACCCGGCATTGTGCCCGCTGTTTTTCCTGCCAAATCAGGACGCAGTGCGGTAGTCATTGCCGCCGAAATACGCACTCCTGGACCGGGGTGGAATTTTATTTCCTCATCCGCCCGGCCGGAAAGTTTGCCAGCTGGAGTTCTCTGCCGGCGAATGGTTTTCTTTCATTAGCAGACAAGCGTTTACCCCCGCCATCGGTCGCCGTTCCTCATTAGAGCCGGATAATTAACACGCACCACTACACGTACAACTCAAAGGGACATAACTCAAGCTGCTTTAATTTACTTTTGGATTCGAGTGACTTGGCAGGTGGCAATAAATGCCAGGGGGCGCGGGAACGGTCTAAATTGATAGCACAAAATCATTTCGAACTCCTTTGCTCCTTAATTAAATATAATTGCAAAGCAAATGGCGGCGTCGTCAGCTGGGGAATTGAAAATTACGCATACGCAGCGTTTGACAAACGAGCTGCCGTGCTTATCTGCCGGCGAACAAAATCGAGGCATTAATAAACGCCTTCAAACATTCAGCATTAAGATGCCAGTCACGCAGGCGACCAACTCCGAAAAACTGCAAACGGCGAAGGCAAACTGGCAAACACTCGGGCAAACAAACACACACATCTGGCAACAATGGCGTGTGTATTCGCAGGCCCTTATTTATGAGCCAGGATATGCCGCATATCCTGGCCCCAGAAGTCTGGCCGCAAACGAATTACGGCCGCCCACTAATTGCAGCAAGTTAAAACGAAAAGTGTGTAGAACTTTTCGCTATTCCCTTTTAGGCCGTTAAGGCTACACTGAAAATAAATGGTATTGAATTAGATGAGGATGAAAAACATAAGACAAATATATATATTAATGTTTAAAATATAAAAATGGCACCAGGAAACTTTAATTTCTATAGCAGCTCACAATATGCACATGTCCAATATGAGAAAATATTAAATTGAAGTATGCAATTTAATAACGATATTCAAATTTTCCTCTGTGTAACCATTTGCGTAGATGCGTGCCAACCACGTGCTTTAACAATTTACGCCGCTTAAGTAGCGCAGGATATTTATGTTTATGATTACGTTGCGGTTCGCAGACTCCTTCCCAAAAGGCATTTTCTTTTTTCTTTTCTTGCTTTTCCTTCCATTTCCTGTTCACATCTCACATTACACATACGCCGTGCGCGCCCTCCGTGAATTCAGCTTAAGTGGGCCAAATGGCGGAATAAAGTCCCTCGCCGCACACCAACTGCAATCCACAACAAATAAAGTTCGCTAGCAATCTCAAACCACAAAGTTGTAAACAAATCGTTAATCATTTGGTGCACAAGGCCAAAACGAGCAACCGAAAACTCAGTTTTCAATTTGTTCAGCAGTCGCACAAGGACAACAATTGCCAGCACAAGGACGCAATCAGTTGTTTGCAGTGCCACCAAAACTGTACCGTATATGTGTAAATATATGCACTTTATATAGCTGGTGTGTGTATATAGTGGGCCAGCATGTTTAAAGTGGGTCAATTGCCGGCGTCGCTGCCGCAGCGCAGTCCTAACCTTCAGCATAAAAACGCAGCATAAATGCAAGCGCACAAAAAGGCGAAGAGCTGGGCGCCAAAAGCGTGTCAAGGCGAGCGACAAACGAAGCAATGCGACCGCAAGGTGACCCAGTAAATAAGGGGGTGGCTGATGGGTGGTTGGCTGGCTGGGTGGTTGGGTGGTTGGGCTGGCAAGGACGCGGACCGGACCCGGGCCTGTTATCAGTAGTGCAGGCGGCATGGCCAGCTCGTTCGGGCGGCATCGTTTGCCGCTCGGGCGAGAGTCCAAGGACTCTGATTCTGGCTTTCAGGCAGGCAGCCAGCTAGCCAGTTGCATTGTCCGCACCCACACAGTCGCACTTGGCACCGGGCCGGCACCGGTTCGAATCGCTCCTGCTCCTGCTTCTGGTCCTGCTATTGCAGCCGCTAATACCGCGCCACTACAACTGCGCCTGCAGAACCGCGTCGCGTTTTTGTGGCCACCATGAATACTATGGCACTCAATTACTACGTGGAGCGCAGTGACTACGAGAGTTATGGGAGCCACAGTCCCACGGGGGACTGCTCCTCGCGGTCCTCTTCGACATCTTCCGAGGATTCCCTGATGCAGCCCTATTCCCGCCAAGTACGAAAGAGATTCAATTTACTGAAGAGATAGTATATATTGAAGCATTTATAAGTTTACTGAAATAAGATTGGAAGCAGTTCTTACTCCCCTTTACTTACTTTATTTTTACCCAATAATAACCCTATACCCTCCTAATTAAACCCTATTTTCTCTTCTCGTTGCAGTCCAAAAAGTTCCGCTGCGTTTATCCGGGCTGTCATAATGTGGAGCACGAACAGAACAAAATCGTTCGTCACATTAGGAAAACACATTTGGGGTAAGTGAACAAGAAATTGCAATACTCATATCAGGGTATTAAGTGGCGAGCAGCAAGTGGGTGGGGCCTTGACTTAGCCACCGCCGACCTTCTCCGCAAAATGTTCCACCCAAAAGCGAGAAGGGGAAAGGGAAGGGGAGCTCGAAACTAGAGCACTAAAGCACAGTAAGCAGGTCATACAAACGAGCATAGCCCCTTTTGCATCACGCAGATTACTTTGCGCACCTGCGGGCCAACGAGTGGGTGTGGATGTGGGTGGTGGTGCAGCGGTGCGCTTTTGAGGCCAAGGTCCAGTCGCCCACACACGATCCGCGCTGAGCTCTGACTCTTGCCAATCTCGTTTCCTATGTAAATCAAAGGGGCTCAATGGGGGTACACAAATAAAAGACGCTTGGGGCTTTGTTTTTTGTTGCTTTCGCTTTGACATTGTTGTTCTCTCTTCTGCATATATGCGGTATATCTATTCGTATATATATATAATTGTATATGTTTTACTTTATATTTATGGTTGCAATGTTCTTAGTGTTGGTGGAGTGGCGCTGTTGCTGCTCTATAAAGTACAGTCCGCATATAGGATGCGAGTCTACCGAACGCAAGAATGTCGGGGAGTGTGTATAGGCTGGCGTACGCTACATGTATATCTAGGTGTATATGCTTATATAGCGCTTGGGTCGCTGGCAGCGATATAGTAGGATCTATGACAGGATCTGGGCTGGGGGCGAAACTTATTGCCAAATGAGACGAGGGTGTGCCTCCAGAACTGAATTAATTGTAATCGTATGCGGATATATATATAATCTCGGGCGCGGGTCGGCCTTTAGTAATGGTATCGTAACTTAGCACTAAATCCTATGAGCAATTTCTTACAATTTGAAACGAACTAAACGTAAACACGGCCGACAAGTACAAAAATTGAAACTAGCTGGAGGTACACACAATATAATATAATAACACACATAATAGATACAGTACAATCTGAATTGGTTGGTTTTTTCAAAAGCTTACGGCAAAAACTGCAATTGGCAATCGGCACATTAACTAAGAAACTTCCTGAAGCGCAGTCCCGCATGGGTTAAATATCGGCATTACATTTTACATACGGTTAAAAACACTAATTACTATGGGCTAAAATTAGCTTAGGCTTATTAATATGCTGCGTGTTCTAAACAACTACATTAGTCTGCCTTGATTTGTTGATTGTTTGTTTGTTGGTTGCTTGCTGGGTGGCTGGGTTTCCTCCGATTCGTCCGATCAATTAAAAGAGCTACAAGAGTTTGAAGGTCGTAAAATAGGATAGGACTGCCGGTGCGAAAGGTATACAGAACATAAACGCAACTACTTTTCGAAAATAGATAAAATAATTTACACTTTTCAATAAATAACCTAAGCATAAAATAGTAACAAAACAAAAGCTGATACAAATAGAACCAATCGATGAAGTTGAGCGGACTCGGAGAAACGAGAAATCCCAGAAAGATGTTTTGTTATTCGCTGTCCTAGTGCGGATGCATAAGTCCATGGGTGATGTCCATGCCATCGCCTATTCCATTTACGCTCAGCCCGCCATTTAGCATGCTGGAAGCTAGAGGGTATTATTTAACATTAGAAGTGATTTCCTGGAAATCTCTTAGATGTTCTCACAATTTCGCGATCCTTGTGTGTCCACTTGCGTCCAGTACTGTTCAGATGGGCTCTGAGTACTAGTCCCCGGCGGCGCCTGGACCGGCGCCCCCGTGTACCGAAAATACGGATTCTTCAGGTCCAGGGTATTGCTCGACGAGATCAGCGTGCCCTCGATGTGCAGGTCGATGGTCACGTCGTACGACTGCCGTCGATTGGCCTCCAGCAGCACTCGACCTGTCAGCGTCTGGCCCTGCTTAATGAATATGGGCATGGGCAGCAGGCAGCGCACCTGGTACCAATGCGTCAGCGGTGCCGTGGGCGACGTAGAGAGCCACACGTTCTGGCTGCTTCCGCTGAACTCCACGTCGAACCAAAAGGCCAGTCCATGACAGATGCCCGTCTGCAGAATGTGGAACTCCAGGGGGATGTCTGCGGGAGGCATAAGTTTACCTTAGCCCCGGAAAACAATTTACTAGTAGAAAAACTCACCAATCAAATGCAGGTCGTCCTCCTTGTCGTTGAGGAAGTCGCACACGTGCCTCACCGACTTGGCCATACAGATGCGGATGTCGAAAGTGTCCACGATGGGCTGGCGGAAGTACTCCTTCATGCCCTCCTTGTGCAGCGTGGTCAGGTCGACGCCATGGAAGGCTGACTGGTACCAGAAGTTGGCCTTGTTGTACTGTTCCGAGTAGAGGGACTCGTCAGAGAAAGGGGCGATGTGCAGGTCGCCGTGCGTGGGGTACATCTTTCCGTGCGGCTTCAGCCACTTCCTGGCGTGCAGATACGTCTCCAGCATGCGCTCGTTGTACAACATATAGCCCATGGGCTCCGATATGATCACGTCCACCTTCTCGGGCAACTCGATCTCCTCGATCTTTCCCGGTATCACAGAGATCTTGTGTTGCACATTGTTTGATTCGACCAGCTGCTGGGCGTACTGGGCCATGTTGGAGGCCTCAATAGCATACACCTTGGCAGCTCCCGCCTGCACGGCAAAGAATGAGAGAATTCCAGAGCCAGCGCCCACATCCAGGACAATCTTGTCCTGGAAATCCACCGCATTGCCGAGTATGGCCCGTTGGTAGGTACTCGTCCTCACATAGTCCTGCATCATGTTCTGCTGCTGGCTAAGGTAGCCGTAAAACTGGAAGTATTGCGAAGCGGAGGACTCCTCGGTGCGCTGCGAGAATACAGACTTGGGCCTCAGGTGCTTAACGTTCTCCACCACCTTTCGGAAGAGCTGCTGGTCCTGGTCGCTGGCGAACCTCAGAACAAGGTTGTCTGCGTCCAAAGAGACGGCATAGCTGCGTCTGCCCATCTGGGCGGCATCCGTATCGGCGGCAATCATGTACTCCTTGAGCACGTGGCTGTGGTCTTCATCTGGGGAGAAAAGATTGAAGGGTTAGATATGGGTTTTTAGGGATTCCCCAAACCGAGTCTCACCTTCCACCACCCGGAGCACCACTCCCTGGGAATCGTAGCTGCAGAGCAGCGTGCAACTGCCCTTGTATTTGTTGGCAAACTCCAGCTTTTGCTCGTCGGCAATTGCGCTGATCACCACGCCACTGAACTGGCAATTGCTCAGCGGGCAAACGGCGGCGGCGGTGGCCAGTTTTCGGGGCTGCGAGTGGGGTTCCTCGGGTCGCAGGCTGGACATTTTAGCTGTTGGAAATGTTGGCTTTTTCGTGAGGGCAGAACAGCTCTGGCGTCTTTTTCCCTTGTTAATTGACTTTGTAGGCCGTGCTATACACACACACACACACACAGGCAAGCACGCGAGATGCAGACAGACGCGCAAAATTTTCTATCTGCAAAATTTTCCACCACAAAAAATGGCTTGTGACTGGCAGCTGGGAAATTGGCGCGCTGGCTATTTATGCGCGCTGCTCTTTAGAATGGGACGGCTGCTCAAAATCGATCGCTCTTGTTGATTTCGTATTGATTTCACACGGAGGAACGTGCGTATTTTTTGCAAAAAGTGTTAGAGCTGGAACAAAAATCGATGTTTTCGTTCGATACTATCATATACTGCAAAATACTCTTTTAGTATTTTTGTTTTATTTAGGTGATTTTTGTACTTCCCGGTCTGGTTATTTTTACATCGACCTTTTTGTACTGTGCTTACTACAAATATTGAATAAATCTTTAAGATAATGAAGTAACTTCATATATATACAAAACATAGTGCGGTTAATGTATGTTATTCAATGTTATACAGTTAGGTACAGTTAATAAAACAACCTAAGCATAGACAATCAAATGGTTCAGAACTCTGCTTAAGTGTCTCAGTAGTGGGGTTGATTCACAGAGCGGAGTGGTTGGCAACGCGAGTCAAGAACCAAAAAAGAACGGTCGCTTGAAAGGGATGTTAGGTACTTTAATGTTGTACACAAATTCATATTTAATTACTCTTAAAGAAATTTAATAACTAAAAAAACGTATATAATTGATAATTTAAATAACTTGAATATAATTAAATACAATTTTTAAATTATATAGTTTAAGTTTGTTCAATTTTGAATCTTAATTGCCTTTATTGATATATAAACCTTCAAATATATTAAAAACTATTATATTGTCCCTTCTTACTTCTTAGAAGAATAACTAAAAATAATGGTCATAAATTCATAAATTATAAATTATTATAAATAACTTTGCTAAAACAAATTTTATACATACATACATGATTTCCGATTACAAAAAAAACACTACGTTAAACTCTAAATAGAATTAAAAATGTAATTAATTAGTTAAATAGCCGAAAATGAGATATATTTTATGTGGGGTTCTTAGCATTGATTTTGGTCCACCTAGGTACTTAAATACAGTATAGCATCACTGCCTTGAGACATCCTTCTAATCAACTCTCGACGCTTTGCAGGAAGAAGAATCGTCGCTCCGCGGACGATGACTGCGAGAACGAGGAGGAGTTCTACTACACGGATGTCGACGACGACGACGAGCAGGTGAAGCCCAGTTTGGCCTCCGAGCCGACGCTGAGTCACCGGGACATGGCGCGTCCGCCGCACGAGGATCCCGAGTACCAGAAGCAGATTGTGGGCAACTTCAAGTGGGTTTTCTAACTTTACCATAATATAGACTGCCATAGTAACTCCTCCTATTTTTACTTTACAGGCAAGGACGCGCCGGGAGCCACTACAACCACCTAGCGCAGCCGCACGGCCGCACCATCAGTGGCAGCAACATCCCGAGCACCCACCAGCAGCAGCTGCAGAACAACAACACCAGCTGCATCCCCACTTCGCACCTGGCCCACCACAACTACACCTGGCCGGCGGCGGCGGCAGTGGGCAGCAACTCCTCCGCGGGGACGGGGCTGGCTGCAGCCAGTTCCTCCGCCTCGCCGCTGGGCAAGCATGCTCGCTCGTCGTCCACCCGTCCGTCCCACTCGGTAGCGCCATATCCATCGCCGATGTACGTCCAGCAGCAGCAGCACCACAGCAACAGCAACGTCAGCAACCACCATAACAACCATCACACGCACCACCACAACTACGCCGGCAGCAGTGGCAACAGCAGCAGCAACAGCAGCAGCAGCAGTCCGGTAATCCACAGCAATAGCAGTGCCAACAACATGTTGCAGCAGCTGTCGCAGCAAAATGTCACTGTCACGGCGCACCACAGCCAACAGCAACAGCAGCAGCAATTGCAGCAGCAGCACCACCACCACCAACAGCACCACCAGCAGCAGCAGCAGCACCTGCTGTCCAGTGTGACGATCACGCCCAACTTTCATCCGGCGCAACAGCAACAACATCAGCAACAACAGCAACACCACCAACCGATGCGCGGCCAACAGCAGCAGCATCAGCAACATCCACAGACAACTGCCGGCAACCTGGTTGCCCACAACAACAACAACAATAACAGCAACGGGAGCAATCCGATGCAACAGCAACACATGGCGCCACAGGCGGCCGTCAAGCAAACGCCGCATTCTCCCGGAAAGAGGACGCGTGGCGAGAACAAGAAGTGCCGCAAGGTGTACGGCATGGAGAAGCGCGACCAGTGGTGCACCCAGTGCCGGTGGAAGAAGGCGTGCAGCCGCTTCGGCGACTGAAAGCGACAGAAGTCGTCGACGGAGGCGGCAAACCAGGCGTCGGCGCACCAGTCGAAGGCGGCAGCAGCAGCAGCAACATCAGCAACACCCAATCCAGCAGCAACAACTCCCAGCCCAGCAGCAACATCGGCCTCCAAGATGACCACCACAGTGGTGCGATTGGCGGCCGAGGTGGCTGCCGGCAAGCAGTTGCCCTCCTCGCTGACCATCAAAACCAACAAGCGGTACGGTGGACAGGTGCAGCAGCAGCAGCAGCAACCGCATCCCTATGCAGTGACCGCCAACAGCAACACGATCAGCAACAGGCCGGTGCGCATACGCAGTGTGGCCACCTCGGTGATTGTGGCGCCGATTACCTGCACGGCCACTACGACGACCACGCCCACCCAAACGGAGGAGGAAGCTGGGGAGGAAATGGAGGAGGAAGAGGAGCAGGATGAGGAGGTGCAGCAGGAGGCTCTCGAGGATCAGGAGGAGGCGCAGGTGGCTGCGGCCAACGGTTTGCTGGCCTGGAGCCGAGCAGCCGCCAGTCAGCAGCAGGCGCAGGCCGTCCTTATGCAGGGTTAAGCCCGCCGAACCACAGGAACCACCGCCCCCTGACCTCTGACCCCTGATCACTGACCACTGACCTCTGACCCCCAGTGGAATGGCTGCCCGTGTCAGCTGTTGCCCCGACGACAAAACGCAAAAATGCAAATGCAAATGAAAAATGGTCTCTTCTTATTTACTCTGCATTGAATTGTGCACCTTAAACACGTAACGGTATCTCTTTTGTTGTTGTGCAGGTGTTTGCCAACTGCCGTGCAAATGTTGCTGACATTTGCGCCCGGGCAACATTTGCAATCTACAATAATCTAATTATTATTATTATTATTATTACTATTATTACAGTGCGTAAATATACATATACATATTTATTTCTAAAATGACTTTGTTAATTCTTATGTTAGAAAGCAAACAGCAGTTGGCAGATTTTTATATATACAAAACAAAAAAACAAACAAACAAACCGATAAAATATAGATGCCAGCTGTTTTACATAAAACATAACAAAAAAATGCAAAAGAAAAAACAGCAAAAAACAATTCAAACATAAACAACAACAACAACAAACAAACAAATGAAAACAAACAATATTTAAAGCAAATATACATTTGATTTTTTTTAGTTAGTAAGAACTCTAGTAAATTTTTTTCTAGTATTAAGTGCAATTTCTGTTCTACTTCTCGCTCTAAACAAAGAAAACAAAACGAAATACAATGAAAGGAAACGAAGCAAACCAACTCAAACTAAACAAATCAAAATGAAACTATAAAGCAGAATATTCAAAACGAAAACCTAAAGATATGCATATTAAATATTCAAAGCGTTGCATCTACACATTAAATAGGCGTAAACAAAAAATAGTTAAATTACTTGCATAATCATGTGTAACTCAAATCCAAGAACCGTTTAAACAATTTGTAAGTGTGTGTTAAGCGCTAAGAGTTAAGTATTAATCGACTTCATGCATACGAGCGGCAATAGATGGACACACAGCTAAATAATCTAGTTAATTAAGCACCCAGACACCACCCACAACCACGACCACACCCACACCTACAGCCACCCACCACAAAGACCCCAGACCCAAGACTCTCAAAGATCTATAGAACAATTACCCCGAACCCGAACCCGAACCTGAACCCAAACCTGAACCCAAGACCACGCTAATGTAACATATAGACGTACGAGCAACTTAAACTTAAATGTAGTGAATTTTAAAAACAAACAAACCAAGCAAGCAAACAAACAACAAACAAACAAACATACAGACAGGCCGACAGACAAACAGACAGATGGATTGAGGTAGATCTTATCCTTATCGAGAAAAGGGAACCGTCAAAATTTCTATTGGAGCCAGAAGGAAAACACTTTCAAACATGTTCAAATTTTTAATACATTGTTAAGTTGATATTTTCTAAAACATACTAAAACGAAAAATGAGCTAAATTCGTATATTGATTAATTTGTAATGAACTTATGACTAAAAACTAAGATTTATAAAAGAAAAAACAAAAACTTTTTGCGTTGTGCAACTGTTGTGAATTGTTCAAATTACGGTATACACATACAAACAATGACGTCACAAAGGACCCAGCGAGGTTTGCGAGGATATAAGGATATATAAGGCCTATCGAAGGATGGCCTGAGATTGAGATTGAAGAGCAGGAGAAATTATGGATGAAGAAATGAAAATACACAAGGAATTCTTAACCAAATTGGAAGTACAAACTAAAGTCTAGAATATGTAAATATAGAACCCCCATACACACACTTAATGAGGAAATGGAAAAAGGACGACAAAGAGGAAGAGAAGTGTAATGGGATAACGAATCCAGGTCGAAACCGAATCGCGATCGGAGAAAGTAGTAGAAAGTGGATGGGAGAGGAAGGAAAATTGAGCTTAAGCGGCAGCAGCTTTAAACAGTTTTTGAAAATGAAAATGGGAAAGTTACGGAAAGGCGGGGAAAATGCATGGAAAGGATAAGCGGGAGCACGCAGAAAACCGAAAGGATTGAAACACGCAAACGTAAATTTCATTGAAATTGTTTGCCGTGATTTGAATGAAATTCATAATGGTGGCCATTTTGTGTAATGCGAAAAAGTTTAACAACATTTTTTACACTTGTATTTCGTTTATATTAACTATAAGTTTAATCAAAACCACAACCACATGAACGATTGTAAACAAACCGAGTAAAATGCAACTGAAAACGGAGAAAATGCAATACATTTTACTTATTTTTGTCTGTCGCCCGTCGGGGCGTCTATTCTTTATTACGATTATGATTACGAGTATGATTATTGTCATCATTATTATTGTTTTTCTTGCTAATTTTCGTGCACCACACAAACACACACAACAAACACCCCCCACACACACACACGCGCGTAGTTAAGTACGTACACTCGATCTATTTCGTTGCGTTCTGGAAATTATTTAAAATTAAGTGATATTTTTAAACAAACAAAAAACAAAGAAAGAATGAAAACTATCCATTATTATATAATTATCGCTAATATTTCTTACTATTTTATGTGTACGATTACCACAATCACGAAAAGAGCAAGAAATGCAAGGCAAGCTAATCCCTCGATCGGGGGATCCTCAAAACCCCGACCAGAGATCTGACCTGGCCTGAATAACAAACGGAAAGTGACAACAGATGAAGCAGACAACTTATGCTTAATAATGATTAAAGATTAATTGAGGGATATCAGTAATATCGGCAAAGGTCAAAGCTCTAATCCATCGAACATGAATGCTAGATTCATTCAATAGCGAGAAATAATGTTTCTTTTTAATTTTTTTCTTGGAAAGAACACAACACAACAACAACAAGAACACCCATTTTATTAAAAAATATACAATTGTTATTTATAATTAAACAAAAACGAAAACCAACTTTGTTTGTTTTTATTATGATTTCACTTTTCAGTTGCTCCTTTGGTTTCCCATTCAGTTATTCCTTGTTTTGGATAGAATGGTTTCCGGATTCACGGAGACTCCACCTGTTTCCCTTTGTCCCCATAAGAAGAATGCATTTCTCGAACAGACACGGTTTCTCCCAGGGTCTCAGATGTAGCAATACAAATCGGAACGGAACAAATTGTACAACTTTCTACTGCTAGTCTATTGATATTCCGATGGTAGCATAGACCTAGAACAGTTGCTAGTTTGTCTTTAGTTGTCCTTCCCGCTGATTTATGCCGACAGGTGTACAGAGAAAGAAGTGCTTACATAACACAGCCACAGCAGCAGCAACAGCAACAACAACATCATCAGATCGAGGTGTTTATCCTTAAAACTAGCTATACATTATCGGGCATATTTGCCCTCGTTTACGTTTAAGCTGAATATGCATGTAGATGGAAACTTATGATATTTCTTCTGATATTTATCGTCGTTATTGATGTGTAAACATAACATTAACTCTAAGCTAAGATGGATTCGGAGTAGTCCCTTATGGAGGTTCGAGTTCGGTTAAAATTAGAAATCTCACGGCAGCTGGCAGCCGGACTTGCATCCGGCGCAGCGATTGCTGGTTCAGCGCGGTATGTTGCATCCACTAAACGATAACTAAGTAATTATACTTGATACATTATATACATATACAGTACATTTAGGTGTGTAGCTAGGGGCAAAGTGTCTGAGCGATTTTTGGGGACTCGACATGGATATATCTATGTGATTCCGGTTAGAATCGGAGCTCTGCGACCGTGGCTGCGGCCTGGGCGTCTTTGTGTGTGTGTTGGTGTTCATTTTTTGGATAATTGGAAAGCGAAATTAGTTTTAAAACAAAATTGCATTCAATATAAGGCTGATTTATTTGACTTGTTCATTTTGATATAGACACAGACACACACACACACACGGCACACACGCACACTCACGCATATCAGCCAGGCAGCTAGACATTGAATTCCATATAAGATTAAGTGCATTAAGTCGGTTAGTTTAGTGAGTATTCAGCAAAAGACTTGCGCATCGTTTATTTAGCTGCGTTTTCCCCACACCCCCGCATCAAATCCATTTCAACGATGAGAATCGAACAGAAGCAGGTTGAAAAAGGAGCTATATCCTGGGTGATGCCAATTTGCATGGCATGTCCCCACGAAAGTGAAGAGTTGTTGGACTGGTCGATGAATCGTATCAAGTGCTCCACACTGCCAGCAACGAAAACCACAACCGCATTCGCTCATGCCTGCCGCTCGAGTCATCCCATCCTGGTTAAAAAACAAAGCACACTTAAAATTCAAAGAAAGCAATAAGCTGTTTATACAATCAATACCCTTGTAATCATGCATCGCACACATTGGAACATTCTTGTGAACTGACTGATACTTCAAACCAAAACCAAAATACGAAGCGAGATTATGTATAGTGAAAATCACGAAAATCAGACGTGAAATCATCTAACATAGGCCTCTGCCATCGTGTGTCGGCGGAGCTTAAGCATAATTTCAATAATAGGTTTTAAATAAGTTTTTCTACCCAAGAGTTGTTGTAACATTTTTACAATTTAAATTTAATATAATTGGCAAGACAATTGTTTTGATAACTGAAACTGAAAGGACACGAGTGTAAGGATTGAGAACTTCGGCCGAAATTGTATTCAATTATTTTGCATTGATTGGCTAACAACTGAAACCACTAGATGTCTTCAAAATTGGCTTAATGCAACCTTGATTTCAAAAGACTTTTTGTTCTGGGCCAGCCCCTTGAATATTTATGGGTTGACATTGGTGCCCAAGAAAATTGGATAAGGACAAACGGACGAGAACGTCAAGAAAATCCTAAAAATTAAAAATTAAATCTAAACACCTAACAATTAATATGTAACATTAACAATAATCGGTTTAGTTGGGCTAACTGAGGACTTACTTAGAATCTAGGCGATATGAGAGATACTTTGAATGACTTGACTCGACTTGATTAAAATTAGATGCTCCCACTTCCCCCCGTTCCCACCACATTTGTATTTGTATTTTGTAATTGTATGTCTAGCATTAGGGGCATCCCCCAGCACACGCACACATACACCCATAAATACACCCATACATACACCCATACATACACCCACAACCATTCATTATCACCTTGAACTTTTCGTGTTTTTATGTGTAGTTCGTAAGCGATGATTAATGAGATGAATCTATGATATATACTTGTTGTTGTGTCTACATCTATAGAAGTAACGTACCCTATCAGATCGATTCATCCTTGTTTTGTTTACCTTGTTGACTTGTTTGCTGTTACAAAGATTCTATTACCCCCACTGTGTACTTATCTCGGTTCTGCTTGGACTAGCCAACTAGTTGAACTGGTTGTCGGCGAAGTTAGGCTAGAGCATACTTTAAAGGCAGGCGGCGGTCGCCAGGATCGCCGCCACTGATCACCACATAACAAGGTACAAAAGAGGCGCAAAGGGGCGGCATACCCACCCCCTGCCACGCCCATTAGCCAGAGGCGAAGGCCTGGAGCAGGTGAAAGATGTGAAGATGAGCAGAGGAGCACACAGAAAGCGACACAGACACAGATAATACTACATTTACGAGCTAGCGTAACGGAGTTTTGCATTTCCAAACGAAAACCATAAGAAACCAAGTAAATAACCAGCAACTAAGTGTCGTGTATATTCCGTGTTACAAAAAATACAGCCACTGTGCAGCAAAAGCAGCAGCAGCAGCTATATAAGCATATAATTATACATGTATACAGTATATATTTAAATACAGATAATATATATAACCATATGCATACATATATCTAACCGAAATTATGAATAGCGAACGATAACAAGAACTCCCTTCTGACGGCAATGATTGTTCATATACCTATACATATATGCAGTACCCCTAGAAACATAGATGTGCATTAATCATACGTACAGTTGTCTCAATGTGAAAAGCTTAGTCCACACCGACCGAAACTAACGTAATCGTAATAGCAGCTAAACTCGAGGACCCAGCAACCGAAATCCAATCACTAGTGATCCCCGATGACCCTTGACCCCATGACCCCCGAAACATAACGAATATCCGTAATACAGAGCAGCAGAGATGTTTAACACTTCAATTGAACATTGGTGAGAATCGAGTACCTACAAAACTGAAAGAGATAGAGAGCGCGCATGGGCGACTATATTTTTTGCAAAGCAAATTGTGCAGCAAATGCAATCGAAACTAATGGAAAACGTTTTACGCGCGAACAATTTTAGACATACAAAAAATAGAGGAAGGAAGTACGAAGCGAGGGGAACACGAACACACAAACTACAGATCATAAATATATATATTTTGCGTCTTTATATACAGGCAAACGGCATATTTGTATATTTACACTCAATGTACAGATCGAAGCTACAGATCACAGCAGCTAGGAAAATAGGGATACTTAAGTACTTGTTGCTTGGTTGGCTTTTTATGCTTCATGTCCTGCATCAATGTCCCCTGTTAATTGCGACTCCAGATCAGCCATTACCCATTAAATCGCAGCGTGTCGGATAGGATGTGCACATTTTGTACTAGGTGTCTGTCCATAAAACACTGCTCCGCATATGTACGTAAGCCTAAGGATCCATCACCTTCATCACACTGAAGCATTTACTCTAACACCACTCACGCTATAAAAAAATCCCACAAAATAAATCATTTTCAAAACTATTTTAAGCGAATGAAAATATACAACAAAGAAAGCAAGAAAGAACTCTAAAAATCATTTCAATGGACGTGTTTATGAATGTTGATTTTAAACAATAAATCGAAATCAGAATGAAAAAAAAACGTAAACAACTAATTGTATGAAATAAGCTAAACAAAATAAAAATTCTATAATAAAATAAAAACAGAAAAGACAAGAGCAAAATGATACTTTCAAAACTAACTACTTGCGTTTCCATTGACAGGGGAAATTTACCTTGGGGATATTATAATTTACATTACTCTATTATTTTGGAAAAATTGAATAGGGCCTGCACTATTATAGTGCTTTAAAGCTTGACATATTTAATTGTAAAAATTGAATATAGTTGATTGAAACATCACTTGGTCATCGAAATTGAGCACGTGGACCAGGATTACCGATGTGCTTTTAAAGGCCAACGAGCGATTCATGCGAAACGTTCCAAAAATAGCGATGTAAGTATGCTGCCTGGCCAATTGCAGTGACAACCATTCGATCTGTCATAAATTGAGAGCTTTAGAACTTTCAATTATAATTTAGTAACTGGGTACTTACACTTCTCTCCACCTCAGTGCTTTGTTTGTGAGGTGTCCTTAAAATATCCTTGGCGGCCTCGAGTAGTGATTCGGTTGTGTGGGTCAAGCAACTCACGAGGAATGATAACAACAGGGGTTGGATACACGTAATCAAGGCCAGCAAAATGTACATGAACTCTCTGTCCGCGTGTCCATGTCCGAGAATTACGCGTACCAGCATGTATCCTGCCACAATGCCACTCCAAAGATTTCGAACCAAGCAGCACAGAAAGACGAAGTTGAATATGGAGCACACCTCCGAGGTTACATCGATTAGGCACTGGAACATGGTGTGCAGCCGTTGAAATCTGACCTAACTGGTAGGTAACAGATCTAGGTTTTGGATCCAGGAGTACCATCTTCAGGCCGGTCTCCAATCGCCACCAGCACTCGCATATCTCCGACAGGATGGCAAATATCAGGTAATTTATCGCAAATATCATGCACTCGGACAGAAAGCAGTTGCAGGCATGGTTGAACCCCATCCTGGTGCTAAAAGTAAACCTAAGCACATGGACGCTGAGGCGAAGGATCAGAAGTGAGGTTATTAAGTAGAGCAGGCAATTCAGGTAGCGCTGTTTTCCCTTCGGCCATCTATATCCCATTTGGCTGCTTAGCTCCTTTTGCTGCTGAAGCTTCAGGAGAACCACAAAAATTCCATTTCAAACACCACGGTGAAGTAGGTGTAAAAGTTAATCAATATCACCACGGATTTTTTTGTGTCAGCAAACATTTCCGAAAAGTCCAGTAGGAACTTGGTCGTCAGGACGAAAACCAAAAAATTGTGCACTATCCTGTAGGAGGCAAGGAAACGAGACCTACGTAGTCTTCCTGACCTAATATCCATGTAAAAATCCACAATTCCATTTAGGGCGCAGAAGAACCCAAGACCAAGTTGAACAAGGCTTTTCAGCGACCGCATGACTTTATCCACAAGCTCCCCATTGAAGCAACTGAAGCATAATCTAGATATCCCATCGTGTCGATGTGTCACGACCTGTCATTTCGTTTAAAAGAGATACTATCAGTCGGGAATTGTCCCTCTTGGAAATACTTGTTGCTTGAAAATTAATTCATTAAGCCCTACATTTATTGATTTCTTAAGGGACCAAAATTAGCAAGATAGTATTAGTTTTTTAATGAAACTTTCATAAAATATAAAAAATTGGAAAAATAATTGAAAATATCTATGATTTCGGTTTTTGATTCAAATGAGTATCGTTTTTTATTTTACTTCGAAAATAAGCCCTAATAGCTGCCATATTTTAACTTTTTTGTATATAATTTGTATCGTGAAATGCCATAACTTTGTTGTATTTGTTAAGTTAGGAAGCTGGAAGTTTTCTACTGGGTTTTATATTTGACCATGAGCTCGTTTAAATCCGACCTACCAAATTTCATAAGGAAGGCCGACTATATCCTATAGCTGCCATATAACTGAACGATTGGAAATGCCATAACTTTGGAGTTTTAAAGTTAGGAAGCTGGGATTTTTTATGAGTATTAAGAATGCATCATATGAATAATTTTGGAGAATATAATTTACAGAGTATTCTGCAAGGGTATATCAACTTCGGCTCCGCCCGAAGTTAGCTTTCCTTTCTTGTTTTTCGTATTTTTGTACCGCAGTAAAGGAGATATTTCCGACGCTATAAAGTACACATATTATGTTATCACTAGGCGATTTGATATAGGATATTTTTAGGATGTCTTAAGCTAAGTTTTTTATTGAGTTTAATTGTTATAATTAAGTGTTCAAAGCTCCGAGCTGCCTCTTCAATAGTTATATAAACTTAGGTTTAGATTACTCTTTTACGTTTCGTATGGCAAACATTTTCCACGTAACATCGGCTGGTTGAACCACGGAGCCGAGCTCGAATAGTCGAGCCGATCCCATGTCCATCGATCGGGTGTCGTATTTTAGCACACTTCCCAACCAGTCCCAACTTCAGTTTGGCAGCAGCAATCACGCGAATCAGTTCAGTTCGAGCCAAAAGCGAAACGACCCCACACTGTACGACCCACTGCATCTGAAACTATGTGGAAAACGGCCGCCGCTTGACGGTTGACGAATTTCGGAATAGTCATCACCTTGAGTGCAGATCATCGGTGGGGCTAATTGAATCGGGATCGAAAAAAAGTGGAAAATAATGAACGGACTGCAATTTGGGAACGCGGATAGAGCTTGCCAATTTTTTTGCTAAACAGCCGCGAACGCGACAATCAGAGTGCTAAGTGCGCTATCAATCAGTCCAGTCCGAGGTCGGGTGCATTGTCATGGCTGGATTGCCGCTACTGATGACCTGGCTGGTGCTGGTGCTCCAGCTCCTCCAGTTGGAGGCCCACTACATACAGATCGACCACGAGGAGTTTCGGGCCAGCGGCTTCCCGCATCCGCACTTTCCACCGCCGCCGTTGACGCCTCTGGATCACCTGCCCCAGGTGCTGGCCGCCAAAGAGCTAACTCCCGCCGAGGTGATGGTCGACCTGACCAACGACCTGACCCACCGCCTGCTCCACTACCACTCCATCCTCAACCGCAACAACTTTGCCTTCTCGCCGACCGCGCTGGTCAGTGTCCTGGTGGCCCTGTACGAAGGATCGGCGGGCAACAGTGCCGAGGAACTGCGTCATGTGCTCCAGTTGCCCAACAATCGAGACGTTACCCGAGTGGGCTATCGCGACATTCACCGACGACTGCGGGTAAGGCTGGGCTGGGTCCACAAATGGGCCAATGTGGCCACTTTGAACTTAACCCAGTGCCATTGGCGGGAACCCACTCAAAACCCCTTCGAATGAAATGCCAACACACATTTACACGCCTGGCTGGGCACCCATTGGCCTGGAGTGCGGATTGCCAAGTGCTCATTGATAAAGAACAGAATCAAAATTGAGTATGCGTACTGCCAAACAAATTGCCCCAGGCCTATAACCATTGCTCTGCTGATCTGTAATCGGATTTCAATAGTTCGTCGACCCCATTGGGTCAGATAATCTACCAAAAGTGACCAGCAATTGTTCAAGTGAATAGATTTTTTAATTGCCAATCATTATGTACCTACTGATCAGATTTTGAGCAGTTAAATGGATCAATAAGGCTTTTTGATGGCTATCTATATTTTAGGAAGGAAGTTTTATTAACCACAATTAAAATTTTACATGAATTAATTTGTAGAGTTTTTAGTTTTTGATTTTTTAACATTTTCCATTTTTTTGAAAAATGGTGTCTCTTTCCTTTTTTTAATTAGCTGTTTAAAAGAAAGTTTTTTTTATTGAAAATAAATAGTTCTTAAATCGAAAAATGCAGGTTAAAAAACCTTGAAAACATCAGTGCTTACCATTTATACATACATATTATTTATTTGTGAAAGTAGGTAATCAATAACTCTCTAAAATCATTTTATAAGGCTTAAATCAGTTGGTTCCAATTTTAGGTATATTTTTTTTTTGCAAATAACTAAAAATATGTATTTAATAAATTGATTATGTTTCAAAAGAACTTTGACAAAAATACACAAAGATAAAAAGATATATGCTTATATTTTGTATTAATTTTTTAGACATATTTCTTTGGCTCCGATAATCCCCTAAAGGGGCTCAGCTTGAACAAGTCCAATGTGACGGTTCTCAAAGACTTTGAAACCGTTCTCATGTTCTATGGATACGATCTCAGCATCGACATGCTTTCCTCAACACCATCCAACCTTACGTCGGATGCTGAGATAGTCAACACCACAATGGCCAGCAATTCTACGACCGAGGAAATGGAAGCGGAGACAACAACATTGAAGGATGCGGAAAGCACAACGGTAGAGCCGACCACTACGACTACGGAGGCACCGGCAACCACGACGACAGAGCCTCCAACCACCACGACAGAGGCTCCAGCGGAGGCGGAAGCCACCACAGAAGCCCCTGCTACAACGTCGGGCGAAGAGGAGGCCGAACCCGCTGGCGAGGATGAGGCAGCCGAGTTGGTGTCTGCATTTGTGGCCGAGGAGGACTCCGAGCCGCTGCTTCGCATCCAGAAGGCCCGCGTCTCCCGTCTGCCCACCAGCAAGCTGCAGGCGCCGCTCAAGCACTCGAATCCCATCACGCCGAAGCCCATTTACCTGCCCAGCGCCCGGACAGCGGCCATGCCGATGATGGCTCGCCAGGTGGCGGAGCGGAAACCATCGCCCACACGGCAGGTAATTTCCATTATAGCGCCTCAGGCAGCAAACATCTCGCTGACTCGAAAGACCAAGATGGTGCGCCACAAGCGTCACGCGCTGCCAGGCTACAAGGATCTGGATGCGAATCTCTTCCTGACACTCTTCAATCCGCACACGCATGTCCCGCACCATCCGCTGCACATCCCCCCGCCTGTTACCGCTGCCTTTGCTCCGATCACCAACGACTTTGAGCCACACTATATAGGAGAGGCGGCCGAGGGCAAGTCTAACTACAATACGGATGTGATCAGCCACGTGTTCTACCTGGGCAACCAGCAGGTGGTGCACACCACCTTCAAGGTGTATAACGCAGTGCTGTATTACAAGTACTTCGAGCATCTGAAAATGAGCGTGCTGGAACTGGAACTGGACACGCCAGAGTACAACCTGATGATCCTGCTGCCTGACTATCACACGGACATCGTGGCAGCTGCAGCCTCCCTGAAGTTGGGACCCACTCTCAGGTTGATGCGAAAGCAGTTGAAGCCGCGATGGGTGCAGGCCATCATACCCGACTTTAAGCTGCATGGGACCATGTTCCTGACCAACGATTTGCAGAATGTAAGTGTCGATTATTGTGCTTTGGATTATTTTTATTGAGCTGTGTCTTTGGTGTGTGCTTTTTGTTGCAGATGGGAATGTAAGCATGGGCGTGACTGCTGCAGCTCCCGGCTCCCGGCTCACTCTTACTTTCATTGCAGATGTGATGTCTTCGAGCCGAATCGCGCCGATTTTCGACCCATGACTGATGAGAAGGGCGTCTACGTGCGGCACATTGAGCAATCCATAGACGTCACCATCCGTACGCATCCCATCAATCAGCTGAAGCGTAAGTGTCTCGCATTGCAGCACACCTGAATTGATTGGAGTGTTGTGGAGGCATTGAGCCGCAACGCATTGCGATTGCCCCACCTGTTGGTGTTGCAACAGTTGCAGCAGCCTCTGCAATACGAGACAAAGTGCAATAAACACTTCCTTTCGCTCTCCAGGCAACTATGGCTCCCAAACAAAACCCATTCAGATCTCCGTGAATCATCCGTTTCTGTTTTTCATCGTGGATCGCGACCTGGACGTCGCTGTTATGTCGGGCCGCATTCTGAATCCGCTGAACGTGCGCATCCAATGAAGCTCGACGAAGGTCGAATATCGAAAGTGATGAACCCTTTGTTTCCCGGTGCCTACAAATACGAGAAGTTAGCTACGCTTAGTTTAAAATGTAAATACGAAGGAGTGTCACGGGAATCTGGGCAGATTGAATTATAATTAATGTCAATGTCAAAAATATCTTAAAATTTAATGCAAATCAAAATTGATAGAATTATAAGCACTCAAATGATAATAATTCGTTTCTTAATCTAATGATGTTTAAATTAAGTTAATTACTTTGTATATACTTAATTGTTCTTTTTGAAGATATATTATTGGTATATACATTATTTTTGACTCATTGATTTGGAATACCCAATTTCGTGTGACACCCCGGATACGTTAAGCTTACCCCTTGAAAATAAATTAAGTGAGGTGTTCCTTAGCCTAATAAGTTATTTAAGTTATCCTCCTTCTAGTACTGGTAGGTTCCGAACACCGAGCACACGCAGAAGAGGCTGGTGTTGCGGAAGACCTCAGTTACGGTGGTGTCGCAGTCGCAGTCCCAGCAGCAACGCGAGCCGTAGGTGGCCCCCGCACCCAGTTCCTGGTCCGAGCACCACCTGGACGACGTGCTTGTAGCGCTTCACTTTAGAGCTGCTGGCAATTTGCTGGTTCACCTCGTCGGCAATCTCGCTCGTCCACGTCTTTGCTACCTCTTTATCGTAGGTTTTGTCTGCAATTACAGGAGTTGCTTAGCAACTGGACATGACTTAATGGATTACTCCATTTACCCTTGAGTTTCTCGGCCATCACGTTGTTCATTATGTTCTTGATGGTGGGGAGGGGAAACATCTCTCCAAAGGCAGGTCGCATGCTGTAGGCGGTGGGCTGAACAGCCGGCTTTTCCGACTTTCCCGGCATTTCCCCGAGATCAGCTGAGCCGAAGCTGAGATTTTCTGGCGACGACATTTTCTGCTGTTTCCCCGCCTCTTTGACAACTGCTGACGTCTGCACGGACTTGGTTGCTTCTCCAACAGATTGTCTGTCAGTCATTACGTATTAAAATAATGTAATTTTCTTTTAATTAGCAATTTAGTGAAACGCCAACGAATCGCCGTTGTTTGTTTATTTTGACATTCACCACGAATAGCAGACATTGCTTCAGAGTTGCCACATGGTGCAAGGAAACTGGAAACTTCAGCGCCCGTTAAATATTTGAATTTGAAAATGCGCTACCTGCTTAACCGTCTAAAAGCAAGTAGCGGTTTATTATCATATGCCCACAAAAAGAGAATCTACTTTAATTTGAATTTAGCTTACAAAAATACAATTCACCCTTCACCCAAAACATCACCAGCTTTAGGTTTCATAAAATCTTTATTCAATTCAAAATAAATCGAAAAGTTACATAATAAATTCGATAAATATGTTTATATATGCAGGTTATAAATAAAATTACTCAATAATTTAAATCATTTCATTAGTATACATTTAATGGTTGCTTTGTCCCTTTACATCGTTATGTGTAGGCTCTCGCATATAGAAAATATTTGTGTGCATCTCTTTGTGTTCACTTTGATTTTGGTTGGGCAGCAGATGACATATAACATACATGGGTGTGCTGTTTGGGACGATTTGCGGGTGCTTCGTCAAATAAATAATAATACATTCAAACGGTATACACAAAAATCGACAAACAAACACTAAGTGAAAATAACCTAAGAAACTCAAATACACCATTTACAATTGCTCAAAATCACAAACCCTTTACAAATGTTCACGTTACACAATTAAATCAACGCATAAAAAACACAACGTATTGCATAGGGCATTCAAAGATCAGACAGATTTCAGTGGCAACGACTAACTTAACATACAATTAGGTTGTATACGGAACTAAAGGTATTCTCGAAAACAATCGTACTGCTTACTGTCAAATTGCGAAATTAGTTTTTGGTTTTGATTTCTTCTCCGCCTGATTTTACATCAAACTTGCGCGCATCTCCGAAATTAGTTAGGCTTACTACTTAAATATATATTGAAATTGTTCTCTGCCAGCTTAATCACTCTGAATAGTTAGTTGCTCGTTTCGGTTACAGCTCATGGATTCTAGTATTGTTAATTGTTTATATTCAGCTGCCTTTTTGGTACGTTCTCCCCTGTATCAACTTAAGTATTTAGGCTCAACAGTCCGTTTAAAACTTCGCAGACCAGCACACTCCAGGGAAAGTTTGCTATTCAAATCTGGAACAGAAGGATTGGTAAGTTTGTGATTTTCTTTTGCTTTTTCAGGCACCACTCACATTCGATTCTTCGTGGTCATGCGGTTGTCCGACCAGCTTAATGCCCGTTGCCTCGGCTGAGGTCGATGCCGATCCCGCTGCCGTGAGGTCGAGTTGGGAGGCAGTGGGTCTGAGGGCCGCTCGCTTGGCTACAATTTCCAGCATCTCGTTGAGTATTGCACCCTCGGCGGCCACATCGGCGGAGCTTTTGTCCAGTTCTTTAATAAAAGGAATAATTAATATATATATATAAAATGCAACAGACAATTGGCTTGATAATATTTTTCTTTTCTTTTTATTAGTAGCTAGTTTCAAATGCTTTTTGATTTGGTTAAGCAAAAAGTAATTAATTTACATAAAACATTCTGATGTAAGAATCATTTTAATTCAAGTTTTAATACTTACTGTTGCAGGACAAGCGCAGATTGAGCTCTTCCTTGAGCTGGGCATGTCGATACTCCAATTGCAGTTCCTGTTGCCTTATGGTCAGTTCCTCATCGCGTTTCCTACACAGAAAATCAAACACATTAGTTTTTAGGCATCTCAGCTTGGTAGCGCAACCTACTTGAGTGCTGTGATGTTGCGCCAAATCTCCAAAAGTTCCTTAAGTAGCTTCTCATCGTTGTCCTTAGTTGCGTCCAGGCTGCAAAATGAAGTTGAAATAAGTTAGGAGCCCAATTAAATAACAAGATTGTAGACTCACTTTTCAATGTTCTGCGCCTCGCCCCGCAGGGCCTTCTCAATAAGCACGCCGCGTGCCTCCAGGTCCTTTAGCTGCACCTCAATCTCCTCCTGTTCCCGCTGAATCTCTTGAGCGATTCGCAGTCGCTTGAGCTCAGCTTGTCGTGAAGCCTTCGATATGGCACGTTGCTTCTTATGCTCCCGTGTCTCGTTAGCGTAGCTCTCATCTGAAAGGCGAAAGTGGTTAATAACCGCACCGAAAGGATCTAACTTGGATGATTAATTGGGTCGGGGAAGGACACATGGGTGGACACTTTATGCAGACATTAAATGAGAACAACAAACCATCGGATCTCTGATAATTCAGTGGCAGAGGCGGAATGGGCGGTGGTGTCTGGTCGTCCAGGGCATTCGGATGAGATCCGGCCAGGTGGTGGGGCTTGTGTATGTAGAGCTGCGGGCTGGATGAAGAGAACGATTCGGGTTTCGGTTTCGAAGTGTTCATTTGCTTTCGGTAGCGACTGTTGTGCGCGGTGTTCAGATACTCTTGCGAGTGGTTTGTCTGTGATGTGGCTCCTGCTGCAGCCGCGGCGTTGCAGACGAGCATATCCTTGTCCTAGTGTGGCATTGTGTTTGGAGGTATCAGAATATATATCGGGTTAAATGATTGCGTTTGTTTTTGAGAGGTATCAAAAGGTGGAGAAAGATATATTGAAAATATAAAATAAACAACTTTCAGTTCTCTGATTAAAAACAATATGTTATTTACTAAAAATTGGAGTTTTATACATTTAACGTGCAGGGTATCCAAAGGCAAGAAAATTAACAAATAGTTCTTATGGATTACCATAACCAGAAGTCAAGGGGAACCAATCATGCAAAATAATCCACCACATTGAACTTAAATCATAAATAATAACCCCAAACGCGATTTCCAATAAATAATAAGGTGTCGAATCCTTAAACTAATAAAAACTTAAAGTTAAAACACACAACTTAATATCCTTAAGTCCAAAAGGTTCCCTTGAAACCTTATTCACAGCTACCTTATGGTAGAAATAAACATAAGTAAACACATAAATGTTATTTACGGTAGGCATAGAAGGAAATACAAAATAATACAGCAGGCAAACTTAAAAGTTAAGATTTAAATAACTTAAGCTGGAATTGGGTAAAAGAAAATGAAAATAAAATAAATGAAAACAAATTAAAATAAAATTGTAGAATTTGATTAGTTTAATATAACAGAAAACAGACAAATAAAGCCCATCCAAATAAAAAATGAGAGATGTGCGATTAGAAACGATTCAAAATAAAATTTAGGGATGCCAAATAATAAGACTAAGCTTTTGTAAGTGGAAAAACTTTGGAAAACTCGATTGTGATCGATGAGTAGGGTTAAGAATAGTTAAAAGTTCTTACACCAAAACCGAAATTCCTCAGATCAAAGCAAGACTGCAAAATGATGGAAAGAATTTTAAATGTTATAAATGAGACACTTATTACACAAAAACCAGACACCAAGTCCTTGGCTTCTATTATAACTTAATGTTAAATGAGTTGGTTGAATTGATAGCTTGGACTAGCCAAGCTTAGCAAGGCAGACAACAATTGGTTACATGAACACCGAATACATTCACCGGAAAACACACTCACCTTTGACTTCTCCTTGGACTTGGGCGAGATGCGGAAACGACTGAAGACGCCACCTCCTCCTCCGCCTCCTCCCGCCGCATCCGAGATTGTGGGCGTGCCACTGTTGCTGGTGCCGGGTCGTTCTGAGTGCTCAGAGTGGCCGGCAGCCACGAGGCCGCCCTGCTCCTTGGGACTGGTGGCCGCGGATGTGGATCCCTTCTGGAAGAAGCTGGACAACGACTGTATGAGACTCCTGCGGCGCTCCGGATCCTTTGGCCTGCGTCCGGATTTCGTTTTCGACGACTTCTCCTGGCCACCGGCAGCCAAATTGGGATCAGATGTGAAGTCCGCCGCCTTGGCCTGGAGCGCGGCATCCTTCTCCAGCTGCTGCTGCTGCTGCTGACCCACCATGTAGGCCAGATCATTGACACTCTTCGAGGCACTCATTTTGCGGGCACGGGCCGCCAGATCCCCGGCTGGCATCTCCTCCAGCTGCTTGGGCTTGAGGACTCTGTTTTGGTCATAGTTGAGACGTGAGCGTATGAGCTGCATCTTTTCCTCGGGACTGAGACCCAGCTCTGTGTTTGACTTAAGACGAGCTCTGGCTCTAGCCTCGCTTCTCAGATTCTCCGTCGAGGCGGAAATGTTAGCGATATCCGGTGCAATCACTCCTCCTCCTCCTCCTCGGTTTACTCTCGCCGGAGCAATGGGCGTGACAAAGTCGCCCAATTTCCCGCCATTAAACGAAGCCGTCTTGCCCAGCTTGTAGCCTGTCAAGGCACTGACTTCGATGTGCTCACTGAAGGGTCGCGGCTTGTAGAGATCTCCACTGCGTGTTGGTGCCTGGACCGTGCGATAGGGCGACACATACGTGGACGTGGCGGACTTCTGCAACGGTCTCTCCGGCGACGGCTTTGGTCGCTCCTCCGCGGTGGAGGCATGGTAATGTGCTTGGCTGGAGCAATTGGAATCCTGCGGACTGCACGCAGCCGCCAACTTTGGAGTGGGACTCAGGCTAGCGCCACTGGCATAGCCACTGGTCAGCAAACTGCGCTGGCGACTCCGGTGCAGACGTTTCTCGGCGTTCAGCTGCTTCTTCGACTGCAGCTTGTCCATGACCAGGTCGTGGATGAGATCTTTCTGCTTGGTGCGCTCTTTGGTGATCTCCTCCAGCTTGCTGCTGAGCGTGGGAATCTCAGGTACCTTGCCGGAGATGCTGGTGCTCCGCGAGCGCATCAAGGACACAGTCTCCTCTGCGGGCTTAGGCTGATCCTCGACAGATTCTATCACAGGTGCGTTCGCGTTGGCCAGCAAGTTGGGCGCCTCTCCCTTGGAGCTCTTGCGCCGTTGGGTGCTGATCTGCGAGATGCGCTGTTGCAGCGCTCGGACATACTCGAACTGGATCTGTAGATCCTCCTCCTGTGCAGCCCCCTCCTTTGATGCGTTCCCTGGCGTCGAGGAATTGGGCCCACTGCTACTTGTGGTCACCGTGGAGGTCTTTGGTTGCTGCTCTGAGCTGCTGGGCGTGGAATCACCCTTGCCCGCTGCCAGCATAGAGGCGAATTGATCGAGCACTCTGGGCGACGACGTGTCAAGTGGGCTGGTTACGACCGTCAAAGCCTCACTCTCCTCCGTTGTAGTGGGCTGGGTCTGAGATAAGCCCAATCCACCCATGCTATCGTCGTCCAGTTCATTGAGAGTGCTGGAGTCTGTCAGGGATTGGGTCATCGCGGGTGCCACCTCGTTCACCGGCGTTTTAGCATCATCGTGCATTATGTATGCCCCCTGCTCGATGTAATCAATGCCCAGTTTCTCATCCCGCTTCGTCACCAGGGGCGGTAGGTTGCCGGGGTAACTGGATGGCGGAGCTGCCCTGCGCGTCGTCTGCTTGGGTTCCGCCTCGATGTACTCCATGTAACCCCTGTTCTGAATAAGCGCCGTGTTCGTGGCGGAATAAGCCTCTGCACAGGAACCCTCCGATCCCGTGTCCATAAACTCAATGTCATCAATGTCGATGGCACTGAGGATTCCGTCCATCTGCACCACAGGTGCCTGTCTGGCCAACTCGTGGATAACCTCGTTTCCACTGGGCAGCTTGTTTGCTCCACTGCGCCGCCGCTCCTTGCGACGTTTAATCGTGCCCTTGTTGGAGTTGAGCACAAACTCCATGTCCACAAAGTTCTCCGAGATGCAGTCGTCGGCCGTCCAGTCGGAGAGTTCGGTTTCCGTTAGCACCTGACCAGTACCTGTGGGCTCTGTTTCCGAATCTGATCCTCGGGAAAGTACCTCTCCCGTGGGAGTCTTGTCGCTATCGTGCGCGGTGGGCGTGGTCGGTGTGTCTGGCGTCCTGGCCAAACTGCTCAAATTAAGCGTAATGGGTTTCACCGCCTGGCTGTGCTCTACATTACTCTCGACAATTAACGGGAGGTTCTTCAGGCTCTCGATCTTGTTCTCGTTTTTGCTGTCGAACTTCAGTGTGGGTGGTCCCATCTCGGGCAAGGGAGGTGGAGCAGTGACACGACGCTCTTTCTCAATGACCGTGCACTCTGCAGGCTCGGGAGTAGCTGTCACTGGTTCCGTCTCGTGATCATCCTCCAGGTCCAATTCACACGTTTTCAACGCAGGAGCAGGTGGAACAATAACATCAGAGGGCATATCCAAGAACTTGACATCCTCGGGATCCCCAATGTACTTTCCGTTAACAATCATCAGGCTGTCCACCTGCATCAAGGCGCCACTCGTATCGTGTACCTCCACACGGGGCACATTGTGCTTCCCGCCTCCTGTCTGGGTATCCGGACTAGTCGTTGACTCCAGAATGTAGTGCTGAATATCTTCGATGCTGGACGAGTCTGTGCTCGAACAGATGGACCCGCTGCTGCCGGTGGTAGACATTACCTCTGGCTTGGTCTTGTCCCACGGGATGTTGGGGACTTGGATCTGCACGCTGCCAGGCTCATAAAGCTCATGCTCGGCGACATCCTTCTCCGGGGAGTCGCGCTTCTCTTCGTCGGACTGCTCCAGCAGACTCTGCTGTTCCTCCCCAACCTGCTCCTTGGCTCCACTCCCCTCCTTGATGTGCCCCAGAATGTCTGGGATGCACTCCTTAACATCCCGGGAAACATCCGGCTTCGGTTCCTCCTTCACCTCCTGCTGCAGTTCGCTGATTTTGTTGCTATCGGGTGTGAGGCGATCGTCCACATCCATAGCTCCACCATCCACCATCTGCTTCTTGGGCGTCTCCAGTGCGGTGAGATCGATAATAGCCACCGGCTTCTCTGGAGTTACCAGGTCAATAACCTCGATTACCGTCTTGTTGTTCGTCGGCGTGGTGGGCGAACTCTTTCGGGCCAGCTGGTCCAGCAGCGTGGCATTTACCGCATCCGTGTACTCCATGCCCTTGTTCAGCTCATTCTTGCAGTTCACGAACACGTTCTCCTTCTCGTTATCCGTGGAGTGACTGGACGGAGCCTTCTGTATCCGGAGCTCCACGCGTAGATCGTTGATCACATTGCTGGTGGCGGAGCGCATAAGATCGTTGGACAGCCCGGCCGACTGGCTGGCCTCGCCCAACTTTGTGCGATCGAGGAAGGTGCGCATCCCGGCACTGATGTCACTGCTGGGATTCAGCAACTTCTGGCACTCCGAGATGTTCGACTGGAAGCTGCGGATGCGCGAGTCCAGCACCGAGGTGGATCCCGACTTCTGAATCTTGTTGCCATTGGCCGGTTCGCCCAACAGGTAACGCTTCTTTAGCTCCAGACTCTTCTTGGAGGCAATGCCCTCGGTGCTAGCCGTCTTGTTTAGGAGGTAGTCTCCTGGCCGAGGATTTTGCAGAGGAGCGCGTTGGCTGCTGATGAGCAGGCTGGGATCCACCTGGACCAGTGGCTTAAACTGCGGAAGGGGTGGCTGCGGTTGGTACTTCTGGAGGTAGCTGCCGCCCTTTTCCCGCGCCGCCACCTGTTTCTGGTGGTGTCCGGCAGCAGCAGCATTGGGTCCGATCATGGTGGACTTGATCTGCGAAAGAAATCATTAGTTAGAAACACTTTATTATCTGGATAAAACAAAATTTCATCTTTTTTTTTTTTGAAAAACATTTGTTTTGTTTTTATTTATATCAGTTTTAGGATGGCATAAATAATCTAATAAACACCAAATTTAAGCGGGTTTACAAGATAATATATAACAAGAGGGAACTTAGTCGATTATTAGATACCCGTTACTCAGCTTTCCTTTAATAGAAATCCTTATCGAGAATTAACGTTGACTCTGTTGAGCACCTTGGCCAGCTGTTCCAAAGTCATCCGTTAGATGGCGCTATTATGTATTCCATCTACCCCAAGTCATTGGTTCCACGGGCCATGAAAGGCGGAAATGTAGGCTAGCAGGCTTAAGCGTTTAATTGGTTTTTGGGCTTTAAGTGGGCGTGGAATTTTATTAGGCCAATCATAGGTATTGACGAATCAAATACATATCAATTAAAATTTTCATAATGGCATCAAAACTGTGGCCACGCTGGCTTATGGGCGTGAGGGGCGTGGTACCATTTTGAAACAAACTTGTGCGCGGAACTCTAAAATCTACATGCAAAATGCCAATCTTCTAGTTTTATAGTTTCCGAGATCTCAGCGTTCTCGGCACAGACGACAACAGACAGACGGACAGCGGACATGGCTAATCGCTCGTATATCCTGAACAGAAATATATACTTTATAGGTCGGAAACGCTTCCTTCTAGCTTATTGAGAATAATTACAAACCCTTTAAAATTTCAAGAATGTTCACTTTGACTGTACAATTTTTAAGTTTATTAACGACTTACTTGGACCTTAGTGGGCTTTCTTAGATGGGTGTCATCGATAAAGATTTTGGGCGCCTGGCGTATGATCTCATCGTTGTCGAACTCGGAGTCGGTGGATATCTCAGTGGCAGAGTTGAGCTCCACCTCGTCAGGCGAGGTGCTCTCGGACTCGGTTTGAACCTGCAAATGGAGTCACGGAAACAAAGATGAATTAGTGCGGGTTAAGACAAGACAAGAGGCAAATAAACGAACGTAAAACAAAAGCGAAGGGAGCCGGGAATCAGTAGAGATCGGTCAGATTCTACAACCCGCACTCGCTGGCGGCGTTTAATGTACAGCAAACACCTTGGGTTCGCACATGCTCATTAGTCGGAGTAGTGGGTTAATCAGCAACAACAGCGGCGTCATGCCTTTAGGTACGATCCAGAAGGGAAACGAAAGGAACGCTGGAGGACAGAACAAACACTGGCCGGGATTAGCTAGATTGGCAAGGGGGTTAGACCTTTTCTTTTTGGACGGCAACAGAACGACACAACACAATCGGTATTCAGTATTCAGTATTTCTAGGCTTTAAGGCTTTACAGGTTTAGAGACTACAAACTTTCGGCTTTATTTCGGGCTGCTTGAGTTCGGGGTTAGCGCAACATTTCGGGGACGGCTGTGCTTGAATTTACCTTCGTAGATCGTACCCAGGTGCATTTACTTTTCAATCAAGTGGCTAACTCGATCAGAGGCTAGCCCGATCTTGTCTTTGGCTGGTTGGAGGACTTGGACTGGACTTGAACTTGAAGGCGTGGCACATCGAGAGCAGACAGGCGGGCGGGCGGTCTAGCATGGTTGGTTGGTTGGTTGGTTTTTGGGTATTCTTGGGCTGCTGATCGGGGGACCTATAGTGTATTGTATGGGGGTCTGGGGTCAAAGGTCGGGGTCTGTTTCTGGGGTTGGTTTCGCTGACGTTGGGTTGGCTCTCAGTAGAGATAGTAGTTGAGGCGTCGTCTGCGGCCACAACGGGGATTAAATATAAATGAAAAGAGAAGGCTGCTTTGGTCAGTGGTTCAGGGCTAACAACTAGGAGATAACGCACGACTCTTTGCTGCCGTAGCCGGTAAGTGCGGATCCGGATCCGCTGGCGGGGCTGCGTCGTCGGAACAGGTCGCTCAGGTGGGAGCTGCGCGTGGTCGATGGATAATAGCTGCTGGTGGCACTGCTGCTGGGGATGTTGTAGGTTCTCCTGGTCAAATAATCGCTACTGGGACTGAGGTAGTCGTATGTGTTGCTCTTCCTTGTTGAGGTATTCGGAAATCGATTTAGCGTGGAACTGGCATAATGCCTTGGCCTGTAACTGGTCAGATCCTCGTCCACATCATCGTATTCCCTGCGATCTGTGCTCCGGAGTACCTCTCTCATATAGGGATTACGTTCCACCACACGTTCGTTCACGAAATCCCTCTTGCGATTGTGCAACCGTTTGCTGCGATCCAGCAATGCTTGGGTACTGGCGTCCATTGGGTCATCGAAGGTGGTGTAGCTTGCAGGACGAGCTGTGGCCACTGTGGTGGTGGTGGAGAGGGTGTCCGTGTCTTGGCTGGATCGCGCTGACAGAGATTGCAGGGAGGGTCCTTTCTTGAGGTCGCTAAACGACTTCGAGCTCTGCCGGGAGCTGTTGGATAACGGTTTGAAAGGCTGCGGAGATTGGGAGCGCGGTTTATCCTTGAATCTTTGGATTCCTCTTTTTTTGGTGGACAGTAATCCACTGAAAATATCATCTTCCTCTAAAGACTCAGCACGCTTATCGAAAACAGTTTTTCCATCCGGCCACTTGCGGTTCTTGAAAGCAGCCGATGGCGGAGAGTCCGATCGGGCGTATTCGGGCAGCTGTTTCTTTAGCTTCTCTGCCTGATCTTCTTCATCCAAGTCCTCTAGATCCCCCTCCCCTTCGAGCTGCGCCTTGGGCCACGATCGGCCTTGGAACACATCGGGCACGGGCTCATCAATGGCCACCGGCTCGGGAACAAACCTGGGCTGCTCCGGCTTTGGCAGCTTCAGCTTCTTGGGCATGGGCACAATCACCGGCTTGTTGTCCTGTAACTCTATAAATGCAAACGAGCTGCGCCGCGTGGAACAGGCGGTGGAATCCATGGAGGTTGCGCTCCCATCGACATCCAGCTTCTTGAACATGGGCGGCGTGCCCTCGTGCCGGGTGGCCGTGTCCTGTGTGCGATTCGTATCCTGAGTGGTGCCTCGCCGAGATCCCATCTTCATGGGCGGCGTGGGCGGTGGTAAGCTCCGCTTGCCACTGGAGTTGCTGCTGCTTTGCAAGGAGTCGCGTCTGCGTTGCTCCGCTGCAACGACCTCGAAGCTCTCGTCCCGCTTGATCAGCGCCTGCCGTCTTTCCTGCTCGAAATCCTCGATGAGGCGTCGCTGGGCTGCCTCTTCATCTGCATCAGTGGTTAGATTGTTCAGAAGTTGCACCGAACTGGTGTTGGGTGAGATGGGTCGCATCTTGTTCCTTCTTGGGAGCATAGGACTGTTCGGCAGCTTCTCCATGTCCCATTCCAAAGAGCTCTCCTTGCTGGCCACGCTTTGGGTTTTAGATGGCGGTTGGTATTGCGGCAGCTTTCGACGTGGCATTGGCGATGCTGGCAGCTTCTCCATGTCCCAATCCGAGGAGTTCTCCTTGCTACTAGACTTGGGTGGGGTAATTATCTTTGGCACCTCCACTAAACTGCTGACGGAGGAGTTTTCGCTCTTAAGGGAATTACTCTGACTAACTGGTGGTTTGCGAGGACTTGGAATCGCCAGAGGAACCTCTTCTGGTTGCGTTATTATCAGCTCATTGTTTTCTACTTTAGTCGAACCATTTTCTTTGATAACATCTTTTGGATGATCCACTTCGTCCACATTTTCCTCCACTAACATGCTAGGAAACCTCAATGTTTGCCTGCCTTCGATTGGAACAACTTCCAAAACTTGAGGCTGGACATTCTTATTGTAAACCTGTTGTAGGAGATCCTGTACAGAAGGAGCCATGTCATCTGGATCAAGTTTTGACAGCCTTTTCTTCAGTCTCTGAGGAGCCACGGGCAGCGACGGTTCACTAGAAGAAGAACTGCTTTTGGGTCTGCGTTGTGGGCGCGATGGAAAGTGGTTGCTGTCCACTTCGTCTTGGCTCTTAACCTTTTGGAATTTCTCTGTAATAATCGGCTGGAAAGTCTCCTCGTCCCGTTCCAGAGACTCTAGCTTATCCAAATAATCCCGGTCTGCAGTGTTTCTGGAAAAGAGGTTGGCCCTTGGTGTGATGCCCACTAGTTCATCGTTGGAATCGAACTCCACATTTACTAGCATCTCGTCTGAAAAGTGGCTAAAAAGCTTCTCAATGCTCTGATCCTCGGAACTGCCCCTTTTGACCACTGTGACAGGCTGGGCACTGGGACTCTTGCTGATTGTTGTGCACAGGGAATCCGCATCAATGTCTTCCTCCTGGGGCTCAACAAGGGCAATGGGCTGTGGTTCCTGCTCCATTTCCTCCACCATGCTCTGGAACAGTTCGTCCACTTGCTCCGCCTCCCTTTCCTTTTCCAAGTGACTCAAGGCAATGAGTGCCTCTTGGTTGAGTTTCTCGTTGAGAGAAATCTCCGACTGCCGCCGCGACATTGCCAAACTGGATTGGGAGCCACGACGTGAGCTGTTCGATGACTTATCACATCCTGTCTTGGGCAGATTTTTAATGTCTTCTACTGGTAAGGGAATTTCTACTATAGCTTCAATCGGCACTTCTTTTATGGGTTCCACAGCTGGACTCTTGGTCTTAGACCGTTCCAATTCTTTGGCCTCTGTGGCTTTTTCCAGCAGATCAAGAACCTCAAAGTCATCAGGAACAGGAGTGGCTGGTTTTAATGGTATTGGTACCACAAGCTTGGGCGCCTTCTTTTGCGTCTGCTTGGCCTGGCGAACGCTACTGATTTTGGCCAGCTCCTCCAGCGAGTTGTTTGCCTTGGTCACCTTTGGCGTTTTAGAAGGAGATTTTTTTTTCTTTATGGGAGACTTTCGCTTCTCGGGTGACTTGCGAGCCCCCTAGGCCAAAGAATTTTGCCAGTTTGGAATCGCGATATTGCACAGGTAGATCGTTCAAAGGATCTGGTCTGGTTTTAACCTCAACTTCTTTTGGCTTCTCCTCCTTTTGGGCATAGAACTTGTCACGCTTCTTCTGCAAAAAGTTTGTGGCCTCATTGCGCCACTCGTTACGCAAGTATTCCATGGTCTTGTCCAAATCGCTCATTGAGTCGCTAACCGAGACCAGAGATTCCCTAGAGCGGGTCAAACTGCTCAGATTACTGGTGGTGGACTCCATGCGACGCAATTTGAATGCCCCCTGTTCATCACTGTTCTGAGAATTCTGGGAAGTAACTGAACTCATGGACTCAAATCGTTTGAGGATGTTTTGCACTCCAGTTAGTCTTTCCTTTGAATGCTTCAAATCGAACTCACCCTCCCCCAGGGATTTGGTTTTTAATAGTTTCTTACTACTGCGTCTGGGGAGACCCAGTTCTAGATCCAACCCGGTTTCCTCCAGTATGCGATCAATGTTGTCGGACAGATCGCTGGGTGACTTTTCATCTTGAAACAACCGCTGATATTCGGAGCTGGGCGAGCGCACTTCCCCATCTCCAAGGATTTCATCCAATATTCGTTCAGCTTCATCCTTTGGGGCTGGGGGTTGCTTCTCTGACGCAGCTTCGACTGCAGATGCTGCTTCTTGGGCTGCTGCTGCCTTTTTGGCCTTGGTTCCTTTGGGTACGATTTTCTTCACTATCTTGATGGTCTTTCCTTTTGTCGTAGCTGTGGCTTTCGTCACGACTGTGGTACTTCCCAACTTAGCTGGTTTCTTTACCGCCGAGGCAGCCTTCGCGGGAGCCTTCTTTTTGGTCAGGTCAAGTGCTCCATCCATCTGATGATCCCTTAAGCTAAAAGTATCCAATGACGCTTGTCGTTTGGGTGGCACTGGTTTAGTATCTGCCGCCTTCTCTGGGATCCTTTTAGTCTGCCCTCCCTTCTCCTCCTGGTCCTTGGACTTCTCCTCCAGGACCTTGGATTTGGCCAGAGATGCCTCAGTCTGCGACTTCTTCAGTCGATCCGCCACCGTCTCCACGGTTCTTCGCTGTGGAGCCGGACTGCTGGGAAAGTATTTGGATAGATTTACATCCTTAAGAGTAACCTGGTTCTTGTTTGTGTTGCTGGCGGAGCTTTTCTCCTGCTTCTGGTTAGGGAAATACTTGGAGAGGTCCATGGAGGCTGGTGCCTGGGCACTTACAGTAGGCATTGTAAGCTGTGATTTGATGTGATCCATGGTACCGGCAAAGCTGCTGACCTGGATTTCCTTTAACTTTCTGTTAAGCTGTTTATTGGGTTGCCTTTCGACATCCACATCCGTATCTACATCCATATCTTCATCCTGATCGCTGCTGTTCTGGCGCTGGAGCTTTTTTATAGTCCCTAAAATCCCTTCAATTTGCATCTTGCTGTCACTGGGAATGGGAGCTTTCTTCACCTTTGGGCTCCCGGTGCTGGCGTTGCTCCTTAAGCTGTTGGAACGGCTCACATTGGTGCTGCTACCCTTGGATTTCGGTTGAGGCAGTTTTCTTAATCCCTCTGGCTTGGGCAGCTGCTCCTTGGGTCGTTCTTCAAAGTTTGGTTTGCGCGGTTTCAGTTCATCCAGATTGAAATCGATTACTGGTTTGGGTTTTGCTTCCACCGATGGTTGAGGTGGACTTACTACCTTCTCGAACTTTTCATCGAACTTGGACTTGGGTTGGAGAACAGGAGCAGTAGCACTTGGTGCCGGAGCTAACTTTTGGCCAGCTGCTATGGCCGCATTCTCTGCCAACCACTTCTCCTTCAGAGTGAGCTTGCGAAGGATATCGCTCTTGACCAGATTCTCCTTGGCCAGCACCTCGAGGTCCTTGTTCATCTTGACCATGTTGTTCATGTGATAAAGTTTCTCGCTAATCGCCTCGATCTCGCTGCTAAACTTACGAGGGGCGTTCCGCTCCAGTTGTTCCATCTCCACACGAGTGGGCGTGGCCAAAGGAGTGGACGGCTGGCTGCGGGCTGACTCAAAGGAGTTGCCCGATTTCAGAGAGTTCCTATCGGCCACATTCTCTTTATTGTCTACGTTTAACTTAAGTTTCTAATTATTGGAGAATTTATGATTTTGAAGGGTAAAAGTGAAACCAACACCATGACAAGGAGATTAAATGAATATCGTAAGAGTCAAGGAAAATAAATGAAAATAATGAGAAGGTTAGTCTCCCCATCACCAAAAGACAGAATAATAATATGTATCCTACCTCGGTCTCCGTATCCGTGGGCAAATTGGCGGGCAAGGGCTGCAGGCGAACCTCTTGGCGGCGCAGTTCGCGGGCCTTCTTGAACTCCTCACCCTCGGTGTCATCCTTACCATCATCTGAAATTGAAAGAGTTAAATATAATATTAGTTTGACGAATTTAAAACTTCCCCTTGAGTGCCCACTCACCCGCAATACCTTCACTTGAGTCGTAGAAATCATCGGAATCATCGCTATCCTCACAGTACTGCTTCCCAATCCAATCCGACGCCAGTTGGAGGGTCTGAGCGCCAAAGGGCGAATCATCCGCCTCCTCGTACAACTCCGAATCCGACTCCGTGTCAGATTCATCCGAGCTGGAAAGCTCTGACTGAGAATCATTGTTGGATTCGGGCAAGAAGTTGCGGCCCGACCACTCGTGCTCATCGATGACATTGGCCTCGTCATCGGACATGGCATCGGCGGAGGCAGTAGCCCGCGAGGTCTCCAGCAGATCCACTTGGTCCCTGGGTGGAGTGGTGTCCATGGGCTCAGCAGACGCATCAGCAGCAGGTAAAGTTCCAGCCGTTGGTGGTACAGCAGGCGAGGCGGCTTGAGCGGCAGCGGATTTCTGCAACAATGGGTAGAAGTTGGTTAAAAAAATTAAACATTTTATAGATCTCAGATCAACACTCACTCTGGACTTGTTGGTGCGCTGTGGCAGCGGCTTGGGTGGCAGCCGGAAGTGCTGGGTGCAGTAGAAGCGACCCTGCGGATCGTCCCTATCGAAGGCATAGCCTCCCAGGCGCAAGTTGGTGTGGCAGTGGTGGCACTTAAGGCAATTGCGATGCAGGACCAGACCCTCCACGGTGGTCTTCTCCATCAGGTAAACGGTTTGCTTGCAGAAGCGGCACTTTTCGGAGGCAGCCTGCTTCTTGAAGGCCAGCGCCACCTTGGAACTCTACATTATAGCAATGGATTAGCATTAGTTTAAGTTCAATGATGGTTATAATTTTCAATTAACGATTTCAATTTAACGTTTGCTTTGCATTCGATGGGTGTCATGTACAAATGAGTGGGTATGTGGCTTGATGACTATGAGTGTTTGTGGGAAATCGCCTAGACTTTTGCTTAAAGCACGCTAACAACATCATCAACAGCAGCAACAGCAACCACAGGAAGCAACCACGAAGGTAATACAACATAAAAGGCAAAGCAAAAAGCAAATAGAAAATAGCACAGGGGAAACCGATAACAATGGAACCCAAACAAAACAAAAGATACAAGGAGGTGGTGGGAGAACACAAAATTACTCACAGATTTGGGTATGACTGTGTTGTTGGTGTTGGTGGTGGCATTGCTGCTGCCCGCATTCTTCTCGTCCGAGTTTCCTTCGTCCTTCTTGCCAAACTGGCCGGCGATGGAGGCCACCTTGTTGCGACCTCGCTCGCCCACGTCCAGGTTGTGGCCCTCTTTTAGCTGCTTGTCCAGATTGCGGATGGTCTGGTCAATGTCCTTGAACTTCTCCGCCTCGCGCGAGTCCTGGCGCTGTGGCTTCGACATCTTGTGCTGGCGTGCCTGGAACTGCTCCTTGCTCCACTTGGGCACCTTCTCACGTCCCTTGGGCCCATGGATTTCGGTCTTCTTGGACAGCTCGATCTTCTTCTCGATCTCGCGCACATTCCAGTCATTGGAGTCGATCTTGCCGATGGCCCGCATCAGGTCCTTGGGCTTCTTATCGCCACCGAGGCCCCCGCGTCCCGTCATCCGCTGCTCCATGTTCCGAATGCGATCGCTGAACTGCTCGTCCGCCGTGCGCGGCAATGCCGAGGGAATATCTCCCCGTTCGCGATCCTTTGGTTTACAGGCGACGGATAGTGTTTGTGGTCGTGTTTTGGGTTTTGGTGTTTGGGCATTTAAATAATTAAAGTTCGGAGACGGAGTTGAGGGGTGGAGAAATCAAAATAGATATGCATAAATATTTTACTTCTAATTACTGATCGTCGTAGCAACAAATCCACATTAACAATCAAATAAAAAGCCAAACAACGAAACGTAAACTTAACAAAATGTCCTATTCGGACTGATTAGATGAACGAGCTTAACGTAGCGAGTAACACATTAGTAACTGGCAGACTGGCCTAGTCGAATCTAGATTTTTAAACGTTAATTCACAGCAAATATTGGAGTCGAGACGCGGTTTTAACATGTTTTTTTAACATTTACCGAACAGAAAACAATTTGAAAGGGGTCCACAAAATTTATTTCGAAAATATATTTTGGTTACGAGATTTACTTTTCATAAAAGAGGGAGTTTTCATATTAGTGGTTTATTATCAAATTGATATTTATTCTTTTAGTACGAGCCAAACGTAACAAATTTATTTAAAACACATGTTAAAAATATTATTTAAATGTTTTCAACGATTATGTTAAAGATCAAAACCTTTTATAAAGCATATTTCTTCGAGCGGTAATTAATATTTTAGCCAAGGCGTTTGTTAGTTGCTTAAAACTTCATATCTTGATAAATTTCAAGGGGCAAAACTCCAGCATTAGTCAGAAGTTAGGATCAACAGTGACGCGCAGGGCCAAAAACAGGTCAAGACAACGACACAGAAGAAGACGCAGCGTGCAAGAGCGAGATCCGGAGATTCTCGTCGCTTACGGGAAACAGAAGCTTCCGCTCGAGGTCCTTGACGCGATCGTTGAAGACGGGCGCCTGCTGGCGGTAGAGGAATATCGAATAGTCCTCGAAGGGGGTCCCATCCTCGGCCACCCCGGCCTCACCACCCTCCCGCAAAAGCTTGCCCGCCTGCAGGAGCTGCAGGCTCTTGTAAAAGTTCTGCGTCTGATGGTAGCGCTGCTGGCGCCGCTTGCTCATCCGCTCCTGCCGATTCTCCTCGATCTCCTGCAAGCGCTGCTGGCGCTCCTCCTGCGCGGCAGAGGTGAGAGTCAACACATTGGACAGATTCGGAGGGGTTCGGATTCTGGGGCAGGGGACTTTGATTTTTTCGATCGAGTGTGACTGTGGGAACTATGGGGTGTTTGGGTGCTTTTGCATGGGACATACACAGAACGGATACGGATATCTAGATCTAATTGACTACTTGACTGGGGAAATGCTACGTTAGTAATGTGGGGTCGAGGGTTACGTATCACACGATGGAACATGAAGACGACACTGGGACACTTGGACACTGAGCGAACTGACCTCATTGATGGTTTCGAATGCGCTTATGGCGTTACTGATTTCATGACAGAGAGCTGTTCTCAGCAGGAGCTGAACCTTGGGAACAGATTTTTGATTGGTTTGGTTTTATGAATTTGATTTTCTTGCGTTTTACATTTGTGATTAACAGCTAATTTCTTTGATCGTACATGAGAGAGCTGAGTTCAAACAATTTTCAAACGAGTAATGATAATGAAAGAGAAATTCACATAATGTATGTGTATATATAACATAATGTGCCAAACGGCTGAATCAAGTGGCGCAATGTCACTCTTCAGACCTTCTGGACATTCGCGTATGAACCAATCCACGATATAATATAATGCCAGCATTTACTCACAATATTGGCGGTTTTGTCGACCTGGCGGCGCTTCTTCGAACGGCGTGGCGTATCGTTTTGACCTAGAGCAAAAATAGATTAACAATCAGTATGAATTCATAATCAGGTTCAAATAAATAAGTCTCTGATGTGGCTTGCTATCAACGTAACAACACATAAAGTTGCACCATCTTTTGCATATACCTACACATAAAGCCTATAAACTTGTTTATAATCGCTTAGAAAACAAAATATCGATAGTTTTTTTTACTATTGAATAACAAATATTTTTAAAGCTTTTAAAGTTAAATAATTTAAAAGAGCCTTTGGGCTTTAGTGTAGATTTTATTGCAACTTTACAATTTGATATGAGTCCGCATCTTGCAGCCACATTGAGATTCATTTATTTGCCAGACTATGATGTAAGATGGTAATCTTCAACACACCCTGAGGCGTAGTAGTGCCCGTTCCGCTTCCGGCCACACCGGCGGTTCCCGCGGAAGCTCCCCCAACATTGAGGAGCTGCTCGTGGCGGCGCTGCCGCTTGGCCCGCTCCTCCTCCAGAACCGAGCGTCGCTGCACCGTCGAGGGTATGTCCACCGCATCTTGCATCGGCGACTTGGCCTTGGGCTTCGTCGCCAGCAGCTTGGAGAAATCGGGCTGGGCGTGCGTGTGGTTGATGCGATACTTCTGGCGCAGATCGCTGAAGTCCATCTTGGGGTGCTTGATGTGCGGGATCTCACCGCGGAACAGCTCGCAGATCTGGTCCAAATAGTTGAGCCAGATCCGCGACTCCACGTCGGTCAGATCCAGCGATTGTTTAGCGCTCATAATCCGATCGATGTGCAGTTCGCGCTCCAGAACGGCAAAGGCCAGTTCATTGCACTCCGCAGGGTTCATGTCCTTGGTGGCAGCAAAGTCGATGAGATCAGGACGATAGCTAAGGGGAAGATTAAAACGTTAATATCATATAATTTGTTAAACATTTAATCTGTTTTGAGCCCTAAGTTAAATGGACTACCCACCGATTAACGAGCGCACAGAGTACGCGTCCATTGCGGAACACATCAGATGCCTCTTTGAGTTCCGGAATAAACTTATGGGCGTGCAGCTGGGCACTAATCCATCTCAACAAAGTGGCACCCTGGGGCAATAAGTCTTAAAGGAATTAAATTAAGTATTAAATAAAAACAAAATTTTTGAAATTTATTAACTTACCTCCGCTGCGTCGCTTGCGCCTTCCAGGCGTTTCCACATGCGGCGTCTGCAGGGCGTGCGTGTCCATGAAGGTCTGCTCCAGAATAGACGGGTCGTCCGTGTCTACAAGATGCTTAACCTGCCAGCTGTTAACAGACTCCCGGTTCAGGTTCGGATAGCGCGTGGCCGGGTCCACGGTGTAGGCACTGATGTCCCGCTGCAGGGTGTCCGGCGTGGTCTGGTTGAGCAGCCGGTAGATGCTCTCGCGCTGCGCCAGCACACCGAGGGTGCTGTTCTGCGGGTTGGACCACAGCTTGATGGCATAGGCCGCGTCCATGCTGGACAGAAAGCCGCGGGCACAGCCCGATCCTGTGGGCCAGAAGGGCTCCAGCAGGCTGTCGCCCACGAGGCACTGCATCAGACGGGCGCCCTTGCGTACGATCACGCGGCAGGACATCTCGGCGGCGAACATCGAGGTGAAGTCAAACATGGCCACATCAGGTTTGCCATAGTGGTTAACAGCGAACTCCAGGTTTGGCATTTGGTATTGGGTGGAGAATTCGGCTGCCTCGCGGGCGTAGTCGTGCAGCTTCTGTGTGTCCACGTTGGCCGGGGCCAGCAGCTCGCCGGGATCGGCCATGTCCTCGATGATAACGCCCTTGTCAATCAGACTGTGTTTCTTGGCCGTCATCACGAAGTAGTGCGTCTCGTCCTTGTAGTAGACGATGTTCTCCAGGTCTATTCCCGTCTTGCCGTACAGCTCCTTAAAGAAGGCCTGGTTGAAGATGAAGGCCACCCCGCTGATCTCCTCCACCTTGGCCTCCGCCTCCGTCTTCTTGTTTATGAAGTTGGCCGTGATGGCGATGGCCAACTTGCCGCGGAACTCCTTTCGCCTGAAGTCCAGCATATTCCGTTTGCCATCCGCCCCGATCAGCACATCGAACTCGTAGTGGGAGACAGCGTGATCCGAGGGAGTAACGGCTGCCCTCCACCCACCACCATCGCCGGAGGGCTCCTGGGCGTGGTCGAAGCTGACGCCCTCGTGTATCTCCACGCCCAGGAGCAGCGCCACCTTGAGCAGCATGCACTGCAGCTGCCTGATGGAGATGTGATCGATGGAGCCGGCGCAGAACTTGCCGTAGAACTTCTTGGCGCCCAGATTGCGCAGATCCGTGATGACGAACGGCCACAAATGCAGCACATTGTTGCGGGTGATGCGGTCGCGTTTCTCCAGCACCACCACCTTGGCGCCCAGCAGCTGCGCTTCGATGGCGGTGCGCAGGCCACAGGGACCTGCTCCGATGACCAGGACGCGTGTGCCGCTGCAGGCTGCTCCCTTTCCGTACACCCGATGGGCGGCACGGGCGTCGAACTTCTTCCACAAAGCCTGCGCCTTCCACGAGCGCACCTTGGCCTTGAGCCGCGGGTAGAAGTCGTTGAGGGGCGAAGGCCGCAGACCCACTGCCTCGCACATGGCCCGGTGGAGCGCCAGGATCTGGCGCATCGTGGTGGCCACGCACAGCAGGTCAAACAGCTCCGCCGCCTCTGCGGCAGCCGCATGCTCCGCCATTAGCAGCTGATGTTGCTGCTGCTGTTGCGCCGTCAACTGCTGCTGCTGCAATGGCTGCTGCTGCTGCGGCGGCAGATGGTGGTGCTGCTGGTGGTGCCGCTGGTGTTGGCGGCTCATTCTGCGGAGGGAAGACAGATATTTGACAGTTAGTAGAGTATTTTTGGTTGACGACTACGACTACTAGACAACGACACTTGGACATGGCAGTTGAAGAAATACAACTCACACATGTTTATTTCGTCGTAAAATTCAATTAATTTCTGACAGATTTTTCATTCACGTTTACCCGTTTCTATTATATGAATGTATCTCTGTTTATATGCCTCGGATTTTGCTTGCGCGGTCTTGGCTGTCAAATTAATTTTAATTAATTAAGCGCATTATTAAAAATCGCTTGGTCGGTTCTTGATAATGTTTATACCCTACAGACTTCAACCTCTTAAAATGGAAGCATATTTTATACGATGTAAATTTATGATGAAAGTATTAACATTAATTTAAAATATAAACATTTTGAATTTTATTTAATTTTAAATTTAATAAATCCGGCATTTTAAATTTGAAATATGAATAACCACTTTAATTCAGTTTAACGGATTTAAAACTTGTGGGTTGAAAATAAAAAAGTTGTCTTTGCGAGGGAAAAGCCTCGACCTCCTTTTAAGTCAACGAACCATCTCGTGTTTACTCATAAAGGACTGCCTCGTATGTAAATGCAAAAAAAATACAAGTTTTACTTTTAAAATATTCTCAGAAAGCTGAAAGAAACACATCCCCGTTCATTCTTCCACCCCAAGGAGCTAACAAAGCGCATTTAAACTGAACTTGTCATCATCTTGCTTGTTTGCTCTCCTTTTTGTTTTGCTTACAGATTCAAATGACAACTCAAATCTTGCCAGAGCATTTACTTCAATTAATTAAATCAGAAATCAGAAAGAATTACTCATGCTGATGTCCAGTGACGATAATAAAACCGTTGAACAAAGCAGAGAAAAGCAGGAAATCTACTTGTTGGAAAGCTCAACTTCTGTATGCCCTTAAAACAGTTTTATTAAAACCCTCATAAATAATAAAAATCCCGATAGCCAATTAAACCCATTTGAACTGAAGTAGAGCATTTTGTGCAAATCCATTTTAACCACCTTATGGCAATAATTGGAATAGCCTTTGAGAGCTGACAAGTGAGCCAGACAAAAGCCAAAGGCAAATGAGCCGGTAAAAGCTGCCACTCGAGTTTGAACTTCTGTTTGGATCCGCCTAGACAGGCAACAACCTGACAATGGACAGTCGGGAACCGAGACCCGAGAACTGGGAGCTGCCAAGTGGGAGCTGCAAGGTAGGAGCCCTGAAGTGGAGTGCCATTTGTGACGGGGCAAATGGAAAATTAAAAGTAAGCCACAAGACCGCATCTGTGTGTTCTTTGTGCGAGTGTTTGCTGGATGTGAATGTCCCGCATTCATTCACTCGCTCGCACAAAGGACAATAGCCCCTGGGAAAAAACGAACAAACGAGGACGAGTCATTGCCCCATTTTCGGGAACATTATCAAGATTAGTGGTTCAGCTCGATTAGAGACCCCTTTATCACAAAATGGATTTCAGTGGAAGCTAATTACCCAACATATCAAATCGATTGGCTTAGGATCCTATTCTCTTGCTAACCAAAATTTCATTCTACTATGAATTAAGAAACTAACCCTTATACCATAAAATTACTTCAAAACATACGATCTTGGTCCAAACTCATAGCCTTGCCCTGAGTTTATTGGACGTCAGAAGTTTTTCTATGCACAAATCACAAATCTGTGCAATGGGTGGAATAATTTGAAAAATAGAGAATTTTCACAGTAGGGTTGAGACGGGCAACATCAGGAGACGGGCGTCCAGGGGCACATCCCCGGAGGGCATCCGCTCGCGTTGCTCCCCAGAGGTCGTCCGGCGGTACCCGTTCGCGAACACCATGGGCGGCGATCCGTCCAGCTGCTGCAGCTTAAGCATCAGGGGCGACATCTGGGGCGGGGCTCCTGTGGAACTGCACCCCGCCAAAATCTCCACCGCATACTGATCGATGTCCCGGCCCAGCTGGTCCACCACTGACTGCACCACGGAGTAGCGGCCGTTGGAGCAGCTGAAGAACCCCTGGCGCAGTCCGCCCTCGAGGACGTCGGTGACCACTGGCCGGATGGGAAGCAGCGGCAGCCGGTAAACGTCCGACACCCTTTCGGCCACCTCGTAACTGGTCGCCGGACGACCCAACACCTTCAACACTTCCAGCACCAGAGCTCCATTCTGTCTGCCCAAATTGGTGGGATTCATTCTGAGAGATGGGACGCGGTTAGATTGCGGCACTGTGCCCTTCCTAATTAGATCTTGGTCCTTGCTTTTGGTATTGCTAAAAATTAACAATGAATTTGTACTTTTTTGCTTTTGCGGCGCTAGCCAAAAAATGAAAATCTAAATATTTTTGTTAGAAAATACTTGTAGAAATGTAGCTTGTCCCGATGTTTGTAATAAACTAAAATGAGTAAAATGGTCATAAGGAGATTGGGGTTGGAGATAATATTAGAGGGTTGCTAGGATTTTCTTTTTTTTTCATGAAGATAAAAGTGGATGAAAATGTAAAATTTTGGCTAAAAGTATTAAAATTTGGTTTGCGAAAATTGCAAAGAGTACACAATATTGCTCAAGAAGCGTTTGAACAACTTATAAAAAAAGACACGGGGATGCCAAAAGCAAAATTGCTCATGCTTTGAAAAAGATTCCTTTTTTGCATAGATATTATTATCCCTGACAAATTATTCTACAGCAACCCACACAAAAATCCCTTGCCCAATGCCAAAAGTCAGTCAGTCCAATTTCTGTTGTCTCATCGTCTATTAAAGTTCGGGACAAAAATTCGATTGGCGCCAAGAAAGTCATAAAAAAAAGAGCTCGCCCAATGCCCCAACCACGCCCACTGTTCGAACGTAAAAGGGGCGGTGGGTAGCTGGGCGGGTGGGTCACGCAATTGGCGACAGCTCTACAGTCTTCCTCTCCACTCTTTACACAGAAAGAAAATGTTCAGATTTTATATATAAAATCTTCATTTTTTTTAAAATTATATTTTGTGGAAATTCGTTTGGAATGCACTTGGATTTACATAAAAAAAACACGAAAACCTTATCTTCAGCATATCATAGCCAAGCCATATGGAGATCGATTATGAACCTCAACTCTTGTAAACTGAATATTATTCTTAATTTTTTGGTATCAACGTTCGACCGGCACTTTTATTTCCGTGTAACTCGCATTGCTTTCTTTCGCTCCCTCTCAAGCCCTATTTGTTTGTCTGGGTTAAACAAAAGACTTGTGGGTCACATTGGGCACACACCACATTATGTCACTGCGCGGACGAAAGGGAGAAATGCCAAGAGAAATGGGGGAGTGTGGTGGGCAGAGAGATGAAACACGAAAATTAAACTGGAAAGAAAATGAAAAGTTTAGCGTTTATCGATTTTTGTCTGCTGTTTTATCAGCCAACAATCGTCACAACTTGAAGTTGGTTGAGGCAGGGAGGAAAATTATAATTAACCGAAAATGTGAAAGAGGCTAGGGTATTCAAACAGCCGGCGAGGGTGGACTGCAAAAGGCTTTCCTTTTCGAACTGGGGGTTAGACGAGCGAGTGACTCATCTTTGTGCACATTTTCACATACTATTCGAGGGAGGCCCAAAAATATCCCACCATTCGCACAGCTAAATTACTCATAAATTCTGAAATAAAACCTAAATTACGGACTTTGAGTAAACGGAAGATTTCATGGTTTATAAAGTGATGCACATGGCTGCCGGACAAGATCAAGGTTCTTGAAAACAAATGAACCATTTCAGTTTGAAAAGCTGAAATTTCTCTTTCTTTTCGTAGTTGAAAATTGGCCGATGGCCAGGAAATTTGTATTAAATATTCAAAACACAAATATTTTGTAGTCCCATTCATAAACAAAATAATTAATTCCGTTCAAACTTTTGTTATTTCTTTCCAATTTCGCTTTTGTCAAAATTATTTGCTCACCTGAAGAAATTGACTCGTTTGTTAAAATGTAGACAATATTTTCCTATGGTATCACAATACTTTTCGGTTATATCACAATATCTCGTATTTATTTATTTAATTTTTTTTGTCGGACCGTTTCGTTGCGAGTTGAGGAGCCACTTGATCGGTAATGAAGCTACGCCACTGCCTGGGATCATTTTTAAGGCAATTTAATGAAAACACTTTACAAAGACAGATGACAAAGATACAATGAATCCAGCCAGGTGAACAAAAGCCAGGAACATCCCAACCACCCGAACAACGTGAGAACTTCGTCAGAAACGGTTGATATACACAAAAACATAAAGGAAACTCTAATTATAGATTTATAGATATTGTATCTACAAGCAGAACCCATCAAACAAGTGTTTTTTTTATCGAGAAAAGAAGGAAAGCCCAGTTAGGGAACATGTCGATATGAAAGCTCTTTCTTGGGCACTTTCTAGCAACATCAAACCAACAGAAGAAATACTTTCAGATTTTTACATGAAAGTCACGTATTTTGAATATTTCTTTGTTGTTTTATTCGTTCAATTTTTATGAGACAATTGTCGATAGAAATATGTCACTGAAACGTGAGGAGTTTTTAGAAGTTATATATTTATTTAAAAAGAGCGACGAAATGGAAAATTTGAAAACCACAAAGTCTTTTTTAATATTTCAATCTAATAAACGTCTCAATATCAAATCAAGTTTCTTAGCACCTCTACGCTTCAGAAATTGTGGCAAATGCCCACAGCTGGGGCATAAAAAAATATGCAAATAGGCAGTCGCTTGATTGATTTGCGCTCGTTGTTTTCTAATTTTGGTTCCTATGCCAATTGATCGACAGCCTCGCAGACAAACAAAAATTGTTGAAATTGCAGCAAATTGATTTATGAACACCACGCCGACAACAGAGCAACACGAACAACAATGCGGAAGTGTCATCGAATATGTTTGGTATTAGGGGTACCCACTGCTGGTGGGAAAGTAAAATAAAATATCATTCGACCAAGTGTGACAATTAGAGGCACGCCTGTGGCGCTTTTCTTTGCCTTTCCGCTGGTTTCACAATTACAACAAGATGACAAGTGAAAAATAATGAAAATAGATTTGATTGAATAAATCTTGTCGCCAACTTTTGGTTGGCAGCCAACTTAAACTTTGTGCATTGTTATAAATTTGTTACCGTATTTTATTTGGCACTAACAGACGTGGCTAAATAAATTACGTTTAATTAGTGGGACTTGGTCAAAGCGCTGACAGTACAGCTTATCTCACGATATAGCAATTAAATATCGAATATATTGAGACACCCTGGCCATATTTCACTTTCGCAATTTTCTAGTTAAATTACACTTTTAGAAATCTGTGGACTTTTTACAAGTAAGTTTGTCTGTCACTTGGCAAGGAATTAAACATATAGTGCTGCACCATCAAGTGTAATCTGAGGCAGAAAAATATTCAAATAGACAGCAGCAAAGCGTACGTTCGTTTAAACATTTTTTTGCTATTCTTAGCCAAACAAAATTGGGTCAGCAAACGATGCGGTTGGCCAACTAGCAGCCACGAGCCAAACATTTTCCCAGAGAAGAGAACGAGATGAGGGGAGAATCTGCGAGGCGCCTTCAACTTTTTTTGCACTTACATATATATTTTTGTTTATATATAAATAGCGAATTAATTGATTCTGAGTGTTTACTCCCTGTCTCGAGCTCGCTTTTTATTCCTTACGCAAGCAAAATTTCTTGTTAAACGAATTTTAATGCGAAATCAATTTTATGGCTGCCGGCGACTTCAAATTACATCATCGGTGAAAGGAAACAAGGAGGAGAACGTAGCTATTCAGCGATTCAATTTCCTTGCGGCACAGCAGCATCCTTTGTGGATAATCCTTTTTGAATCATACCGTTGACATCATTTGGAGTAGACTTAGCGTCACCATCGATTTTAAATGATAGTGTATTTAACAAAAATGTATAAAATCTTTATTTTACTGTTCTTAAGAACTCTTTTTAAAACACATGTATCTAAAAGTTATCCACCCCTTAAAAACAACTATATATATATGTTATAAATTTAAAGTAACAATAGATAGATTACTTACAAAAAGTTGATGATGGTCACGAAAAATAAAGATGTATATCATTCATATTACTTTTGATGCATGCCAGCTCCAATTAAGAGCTTTTTCAGCCTAATTGTATTTAAAAATTCCCCATTTTCGTCTGTCGGACCACTTCCTGCACAATTCAACCCATATTAAAATAAATAAAAAATATATGCCGCCTGCACAGGAAAAAAGAATCAAAACCGGAGCGGGCAAACCCTATTCTCCCCAGTCCGCCCTCTCACTCCGCTCCAGTTGCATTACAACTCGGATTGGGGTCATACCCGGACAAAGTTCTCCTCTTGGAGAAACAAATTTAATAAACAACAAAATGGATAAAAATTTACATAAATATTCTATTTTTTGCGGGGTTTAATTGCACACTCAACTTACTTGTCTCAGTCGCTGTCGATGTCGTGTGGGCCTGTCATATATGCAGCATTAACTGTAAGCAAAGGAAATTTAATATGGTTAGATCGAGTTGGGTACAAATGCATTGCAAATAACTAAGAGGTAAATTTATTGTCTCTAATTATGCCACCAACTATTGTGACATTTCAATGTTGAGGCCAATTAAAGATATCGGAGCCTTCATTATATTTATGTGGGCTGTGCGAATATCTCAAAAAGCACCAGGAGCAACAACAACTGAAAACCAATTTATAAATGTCTTACGGCTTATGATGGATTTCAGGTTGTGTGTGAGTCGCGTGGGCCACCAAGACAAAGAAATATTCATAAATAAAATCGTTTAATAATATCAGAGATAGCAAACCGAAGTGTTCAACACACTTTCGAAAATTGTATCTTTTAATACAATTACGGACTACTCTCCCAGTGAACTTAAAAACCGAAACATTTTACTGTCTGAATTGTTGACCGAATACATTTAATAATACGTATCAAGATAAAATAAAAAGATTTTTGTTGTGATTTATATAGAGTGTAAAATATTACAATGAAAGAAATTCCAAACTCGAATCATTTTAAACATTAATGCTAATAAAATGCAGTGAGTGGATTTCAAGCCCATTTATGCCGCAAATTAAATGCGAAAATATGGGCAAGGTCTCTACCGAAAACAGATTGAATACGACAGATTGCAAGAACAATTTATTGCATGCTCAATTGCAATAGCAGACAAGGTAAACAAACAAAATCGCAGACGTAAACACCTGCTTAGGTAACGTCGGCTACCACATGTCAATTACCACATCCTTTTGCCTCTCGGACCCCCGATCCACTTCCCTGTCCTCACGAATTTCGCACTGGACTCCGGCAGACCCTCTCGAGCAGTTAAAACTGCAACAAATGGCAAAAACTACGTACGGCTGGGCATTTATTCAAAGCAACAGCTCGGGCACGAAAGTGGCATTAAACTCAGTGGAGACGAAGACGATGACGATGACGCTAGACGACTGACGATGAATAAAACACTTCGAGCCTCCGGTCCCCAGCGGAAAATGCTGAAAACCCAAACCAAAACAGGCCAGAGACAAGACGAAAAGGAAATAGCCAAAAAAGAAAACCCAAACACAAAATCACGTGCCTAACCGCATCGACGTAAAATTGGAGAAAACTGCATTTGAGAGAGTGAAATTGAAATGCCCTTTCAAATCTTATTATGGAAAATAATTGAAAATTAATAGAAAAATTCCACATTCCAAATTTTTATACAAATTAAGAAGCCAATAATTTTAACAGTCGAGATGGTAAGGTCTGTTTAATATCTAAATGTAGGCTTTTAAGAATTTGCATAGACTCTTTCAATGCCTTACTCAAGATACTCGTTTGGAGGATAATAGAAAAACTGCGGCATCAAAAGATTTGCGTCTCCTTTTTGGCAATTTTGGCGGCTGCCGTTTGGCGCTGCCTGCAATGAATGAAATTAAATGTTGCCAATGGGGATAGACTCGCAGAGGAAAAATAAAAAAAAAATAGCCAGAAATGCTAGCATGCAAACAATAACAACGGCCACATCACAACTCGTTTTGTTGTTAGCTGGTTTGGTTTGGTTCGCTGGTTGCCGCAGCAGCCGTCAAAAGTTGCCAAACTTGGCCAAGTGTGCAATGGCAAGTGTTCAGTTATTTTTATAGCCACCGCAGCAACAACAACAACAATGGCAACAAGCACGACCACGACAAGTGCAGCAAACTCTTGGCCAGGCTAAGGTGAAATATGATTGCAGGCTGGTTGGCCCCAAGTCTTGGGCCTTAAGGAAAACCAAGCCGAGCAAAAGACGTTGCCAAGTTGCTGTTGTAGCGCTTTCACTAGTTGCGCCGCCGACTTTTCCCATATTGAAAACGTGGCTCTTACAGTTGGCCTATAACTTCAAGCTTTGGCCTGGCGAATTTCGGTCCATTAAATGAATATTTGCTGGCGGCCAAAAATTCTATACAACATGTTCGGTCGCACCCAAATTGTTTTTACAAATTTTGAACATATATATGCAAATTTTATGTTGATCACGTTCATTAGTTTAATAGACATTTGACGAATAAGAAAAGCTGTTTACATAATCCATGCGAAAAGTGAGAGGTAGAACTTTTGCCCTTTGAAAAAGATCTCATTTGTGAATAAAATGTTTGAATTCTTCTTATGCACTAATATTTAAAATATATTTGAAATAATCAAAAGATAAAAAAATTATTTTATCACCCTACTGTTTATCCACTGCAAATATTGATATTTATTTTAAGAGTAGGCAAGAAAAACAATTTACAAAGCTTGATTTTGTCATAGACGTGCTCTACTTTCCGTTTCATTCTAAGTTTATCTCTATTTGCGTTCTACACTGGATGTGAGTAACATTAGCACTGGCTTTATTATTTCGCTAGATTTATAAGCTAGTTTAACCCGTTCAAAATACGGCAGTTGCAAGCTGGGTAGTCTATTGCATGCCATATACCAAACAAGCGAAAAACCAACAAAACGAAGACAAATACAGCAGACGGTGAGATAAAGTATCTAGAGATGACCAATCTGAGATATGGCATCGCCCTGCGCAGCGAAGATAGATGGGTGACCTGACCTTTGGCCGCACTGCTGCGATGCAACAGAAACAAAAGAGAGGCTGCTTCCACAATGCCGGCAGTTAATCATCGGTTATATCATTGACCTCCCGAGAGTTCGTGGCGGCGCTCCTCCTGCATAATCATTCGCTCAGACACACAACCTCCCATTTTCTCCCCACCGCAGCATAATTAACATCTGAGCGATAAATGTAATTAGCGATTGCCTGCACTTAATTGCACTTTCATTGAGCAGAGTTCATTGCCGCATCTCGGGGCTTTTGTGTCAAATGTTGGGCCGTGTCAAACAATGTTCAATTTTCTTTTTCGCCTCTCATCAGACTTTCTGGCCCCCTCCTCCTCTTAAGCCAGCCATTGAGTATCTGCGAGATATACAAAGGCAGAGCCAACAAACAAATGCACCTCGGAAAATAAACAAGCACACACATTGAGTTGCGCTGCCAACGCAAAGAGTTTGGGTCGAACTTTGTTTAAAAATAACAAGAAAATAAGAAAATGTATCTGCCAGCACTGCAGTTCTGCCATCCGAAAGATACGGGCCCACTCGATGCACACAGCTCACAGCTGGGTCTCCGCTTTTAGTGTAAACATTGTGTCTAAATAAACCCCATTCAAGGATGGGGCACTGCAGCTTCTTCAAAGCGTTTCTGACCTCAAACAAGTTCTAAAAACTCAAGACTTTTTGTAGGGGCGCAAATTAATTATAAATTATTTGAAAGGATTCAAGAATACGGTCGACTATTTCAAACTTAATGACTTTATGGGTGAACCGGAATCATTCACAATATTCCCATCCATTAACTTTAAGTTTTTGTTATATAATATTTAATATTTTTACAAAAGTTTTCATATATTTATTGGACCTAGTTAGAGTGTAATTAAGGTTTATTTTTTCAAATACGTAATATTCGTACTAAACCAAATAAACTGAATACTTCTTCCACTTCCAACATGACATTTCCGCATGACTTTTCATAAATTCCATTATTCTTTCGTGTTGCATGTAAATGCAGTTGCACCGTAAATTCAAATAAGGCAGGATCACTTACACAAGAGCCACTTGAGGCGCTATTTTTAGACCACTCCCGCAGAAAGTCGGCAAAGAAAAGCATAAGTGCCAAGGCCCGAGGTGGGAAATTGCGATTTTCACGCACCGTTCCTAGTGTGATTTACTCCTGGCCACCTCGACGTCACCTGTCCCTGACTCTTTGCTTTTTGATGTCTCCTTGGGCGTGCGTGAAGTGCGGCTATTAGGAAAATGTGTCTCTCGCAAAGGCAATGCGCCTATTTTTAGTGCATTGGCTCCGCCAGCTTTCGGGTTGGCCATGAAAATGTATCTGCATCTAAGTTGGCGGCTGCAGGTGTAGCACTGTAGTGGCATCGCACAGGTGAAAGTATTTAATTATGCGTCTGCCGCATGACAAATCTGTTGGTGTTGATGAATTGCCATTGCAATGCAAAACATCCTTGGCTAAATGTCGGCTTGGCAAGTGAATTCCCCAGCGCATATGGCCAGCGGATGCGAAAAAGCTCGGACAGGAAAGTGAGTGCCCAAAATGGGGCTCGTCGGACTCGCGTTTTCATTGGAAAAGCGAGGCGATATCGCCATGTGTGGCACTGGCAGGGGCGCTGATCGCAGCTCGATTACAAGGGGCGCAAACATTTATTGGTAATGCAAACAAACAAAGTGTCAAGTGGCCGGGATTTTGCCTTGCCAATCGTACTCGTATTTTAGCCAGCTGCGTGTTTATTTGTTTGCCAAACGTGTTTGTTTGCCCACCCCCGACTGCCATTTCGATATTAATTTGCTTAGCAATTCGCACTTGGCTGCCATGAATATTTGAGCATGAGAAAAGCAGTTAGCAGATGTCATTTCAAATTTCGCTTTCCACATTTCCCCGGAGAGTTAGAGTGTGTTTGCTAAACCGATGGAAACTTAGTTTTCCCTTCTCCATATTAATATGCCTAATATTCCCCAAGGCTCACAAATAACACATATTTAATTGAGTATTGCGATGGTTGTTTGTTATCTAATCGCTTCTTATTACAACGTTTTTCTTGGAATTGTCTTCAAATCTCAGACGCACACCGGGCGTATGAGTAATATCAACAATTCATACAAAACATTGCTGGGAGTTCTGCGATGACAACAGAATTGTGCATGTGCCAATTAATGCTTGCTATTAAGTCGCTAATTTGCCAAACGATTAGGTGATTATTTAGCCAGGTACACTTCAAATGAAAAATCAGAGTTAATTCTCAAAAATTCCATATGCGAGGGTAAAACAAAAACAACAGATAATTGGTATTTCCTTTTTTTGGGACTATTATTATTCAGAGTGTACAACGGGGCGCATGGGCAATCGACAATCTGAAAAGATGATCTGATACAATAAAATCTAAATCGAAAGCT